TTTGATTTTTTGGTTTTTCTCCGGTACCGGGAACCGAACTCACGACCTTGCGCTTGCCAGGCAGGCGCTTTGCCGCTGAGCTAAATCCCCAGCCCCTGTCTCACTCATTTTCTCATTTCTCTTGGCTCATACTTGTTAGAGAAGGGAGCTGATTGTGTTGGGTAGTGCTAGCAAGTGTGATTCACCTCGTAGATCTTTGCTGGTCTTTGGGTCCGTGTTGTGGCTTGTATGTAGATGTCCCCCAAGTACCACATGTGGTCGTATGTGGGGCTTTTCAGAGGTGGCTAGATCTTGGGTTTGTGCTTGCTAGGATCAGAGATGTAATGCTGGGATTGATTTACAGTGTGATGCTAGGATGAAGGGTATGAGTGCTACCTGCATTAAGGGCGGGGTAAGATATAAGGGACAGAAGGAGCTGTGGTCATGGCCTGTTGCTTCTCTCTTGCTTGCTTTTGTCTTCTGCCCACCATGAACTATTTCTTCTCTGCCATGCCCCTCTCTCTGTCAAGCCACCCTGCCTTGAAGCCAGCTGACTACGAACTGAAACCTCTACAAACTGTGAGCTAAATAAATCTTTCCTCTTTTAACTTTCAGTGTTGGGTATTTTGCTTCAGCAGTGAGAAAGGTAACTAAATCCAACACTGGTCCCTAATCACGTTCACTTTTAGCTAGTTGTAGTGTGTCTTCTGAATGAGTGATGATCATACTGAAAGGACTGTTTGTGATCCCTTTCCTTAGAAGGGACCCAGGTGGCCTTGGTAAGATACTCAGAGCATCATATTTTATCCTGTACTTATGGGTCACTGGGAACTTTGAGACTGAAGGAGGAGTAGAAAATGCTCATATGTGTGGGATATATTTCTAGTCTCCAGGAGTGGCTCAGGGTATCCAAAACAAAAATTGTTTTCATTTGTCCTGGTGCTATATAGCTTTTCTTAAAAGTAAATGTCTTAGAAACTGTTAGCAACTCAGGTATATTTGTTTTCTGTCTCCTTTTATTCAATTCTTTTACTAAAACTAGAGTGATACCTTACATTAAAAAACTGATCACAGTATATTTTGGGATGGATACAAAAAGCTGGATCTTGCCGTAAACTAAAAGAAAACAATGGATTGCTGTGGCCAGCAGCCTAGTAAGTGTAAGGAGGAGGACTTTATGTGTGTTTTCTTTAGCCAGCCCAGTAAGCCAGCCTCTGGAGGCCTCATCAGTGCTCTTTGTACGAAGGCCTTCTTTGGGGATGGCAGCCTTCTGAAGAGCCAAGTAGCTGAAGGATGGCATTTTATAGGTGCTCAGTGTAGCTACTTGATCTTCTCTCCAAGACTGGGAAATTTGAGACCATTCAGATAGCATATGTTGATATCCTCAATAGTACAAACTCAGCTTCATGAAAGTCACATACTACTCTTTCTCATTTCACCAAAGACTGGTGCAGACTTCTTCATGGACCAGAAGCTGTGGTGAGACGAAAGCAGAGGAGCATCAGACCTTAACTGGCTTGGCTGATAACTGCCCTGAGGAGGTTGATAGTGTCTTGGGTGCTCCAGGCCAAGAGTTTGGCTCGGTGCTGTGTACTGAGAGTATCTTGGCAGGACTTGGAGTCTGGAGGGCAGATGAAAGGCCCAAGGGAGGAGTGGCAGGAGGTCTGACTGAAAGGGAAAGCAGTCAACTGCTGCAAGTTTCTGTGAGAGTTTGTTTTGGAATATAATATTTCTCCATGCTCTATGGTTAGTGACTATCACCACCCAGTGTAAAAAGAAAGCCCTAACCTCAGGCTGAGGAGCTTTTGCTATTTAAAAATGCATTACCTCTGTGGGTTTTTGTTTTTTGGTACTAAGTGAACCCAGGACTTCGTGCTTGCCAGGCAGGTGCTGTGCTACTGAGCAATATCCATGGCCTCTCTGATCTGGCTTTCCTTTTTCCCTTTAGGCTGTTTGGTAGGGGCAGTAAATCTCAAATCCAGCAACCGGAACCCAGTGGTACAGGAGTTTGACAGTAAGTATGAGATGATGTAAGGAGATTGGGCACCCTCTAGTGGACATATGGTTGTCTTGCAGTCAACTCAAGACTTGCTCCTGGGTCGCCACTGTGCCCAGGGTGATCTGGGTGGCTATTTCAGCAGTACACCTGTCAGAGCTGTGAATCATCACCCCAGTGATGCACTCTGTGTGGGTTTATATCACCTGACACCTGTTCACAGCTTGGCTTGTGCTTAAACAACAAAGAAATCTTCTATGTAAAGCAGGGTCACAATGTCAGTAGTTTTTTTCTCGGTGAAACCTATTTCCTCAGAGACTTGGAGTCTAGAGGTACCTCGCTGGTACCTGTCTGCAAGGCCTGTCTTACCTTAGAGGTGGCTGGTGGGGCCTAGAAGTGTTCTGCAGTTACAGTGCTCACTTTCCCTTTGCTCATTAGGTGTGGAATTGTCTTGTATTATTACGGATTCACAGACCAGTGACCCCAGGATTGAGTGGAAGAAAATCCAAGATGACCAGACCTCATACGTGTTTTTTGAAAACAAAATTCAAGGTATGACTCTTGGCCCTCTGTGCCTGCTGACCCTCCTCTTGTCCCTGGGCCTGGATATACACCAATGATCAGAAAGCTATCTCAGACTGCTGACTGCATCTACAGCCAGAACTGTGTTTAAAATGTGCTATTATGAAGCCAGGTATGGTGGTGCACACCTGTGATCCCAGCACTGGGGAGGCTGAAGCAGGAGGATCACTGTGAGTTCAAGGCCAGCCTGAACTACATAGCAAGACTATGTCTAAAAACAAACAAACAAACAAACAAAAAATTGCTATTAATTAAAAATTCCAAATGCATGCAAAAGTAGTATATTGAGCTTCTCTGTACCTGTTGCTCCACTTTAATAAATATTGATTAGTTAAAACCTTACTGTATATAACAATCCATTTTTAAAATCAAATTTTTAAAATTAAGGCATTTTTAGTACAAGTATTTGGTGAAATAAAGATTTCTTAAAGAAAGAGATCCAGATTTTACAGTTTCATGTTTCTGGAATAGAATGTCATAGGTTTTCCAGGTATGTCATGGTCCTAAATGAATCTGACACATAGAAAGGGTTTTGCAATGAGGTATTCTTTCCTTTATCCCTCTTCCTTGTTATTTGTTACTGTTATTTATTTATAAAATTTTATGGGTACATGACACATCCCAATTCTTTTTTTCCCTTTCTTCTATCCCCTTCTGCTAAGATCAGATTTACTTATTTATTTAAAAAGTCTTTATCAAGTTAATTACCACCAACACAGATTAACAGGCCCAAAAATATAAAACATGTAAGATAATTATCCTAAATCAAGGTACACTTTTAGATATACTCACAGTCCATTTCTGAAGAATAAAAGCAAGCATTCTGAGCCATTTTCTCGTCATGACCCGTGACAGGAGTGATCCAGGCGAGATCATCAGAAGGGCGAACAGTGGCACAGAGGCCAGTAGGTGTTGTGGAGCTACCCGTAGGTCCCAGGCATGGTGCTGGGTGTGCCCCCTGTGGGAAGAGCACTGCTGGACAGGTTAGCAGTCATCATTCTATAGACTTTTTGTGTCCTTTGAAGGACAGATATCTTTAATTTTGATGACATCCAGTATAACTTGTGTTCGTGGCCTCATGAACATTGCAGCCCATAGTTTTAGCTTTCACTCTTTCATCAGGACATTAGGTTTTCATTGCATGTGGAGGGAGAGGCTCAGCTTCTTCCTTTGCATGTGGATACTCAGTTGTCCCAACATTCTTTTTTTTAATACTTCTTTTATTTTCTTTTAATGGGGTGTCCCTCTGGGGAATGTTAAGGAGATGAGCTTTTTGGCTTAACAGAGACACACAAAATGAGTGCCTCTTACACATTGGCTTCTATTTTTGGTACTCATGTTACCAGCAGGAATAAGTCATGATTCCTATCCCTGGGGAGGGCCATTCATTCTGTTAATGGAGAAACATAACCTTCTTTAAGTGGCAGAATGTCTCTACAGAGTGTTTTAGCACTTTTGTCTTCTTTTCCATAGGGGACCTGGCAGGCCGTGCAGAAATATTGGGGAAAACTTCCCTAAAGATCTGGAATGTGACACGGTCAGACGCAGCCCTCTATCGCTGTGAGGTGGTTGCTCGAAATGACCGCAAAGAAATTGATGAGATTGCCATTGAACTAACTGTGCAAGGTGGGAACTCCTGGTAAAGCATTTCACCTGTCAGGCCTCACATGTTGCTAAAGATAAGAGATCAATTCCTATTTTGATTTCTTTGCATCCAGAGCTCACTCCTGAGGGTGTCTTGTAGCTTAGGGAAGGGAGCTAATAAAGCTAAGACTGCCTGAGTTGGTGGAAGATGGACAGAAGTAAAGCTGCTGCCCTTTTCTTAAGGTGCTCCAGCGTCCTCAGTCTCCTCTGTCCCTCCTGAAGGTGGAAGGAATTGGGAACTTGTGTGGGTCCGGGCTGGGGGGTTGGGTGCCAAGGACAGCACACAGTGGCAGAAGGTCAGCTGGGAGACGGCAGTGGTACAGGATCACTTGGCTTAGCTTCCCGGTTTTGGAGCCGATTTATTTAAGTGGGTTCAGCTGTGTTACTGAGCTATAAAACAGCCTATGTTTTTCCTGCAGTGAAGCCAGTAACCCCTGTCTGCAGAGTACCAAAGGCTGTCCCTGCAGGCAAGATGGCGACGCTGCAGTGCCAAGAGAGCGAGGGCCACCCACGACCTCACTACAGCTGGTACCGCAATGATGTGCCATTGCCGACGGACTCCAGAGCCAACCCCAGATTCCGAAATTCCTCTTTCCTCTTAAACTCTGAAACAGGCACACTGGTAAGCACTCTTCTAAGAGGTAAAGATGGAGATTTCTTTGTTGGAGCAAATGATGCTTTTTATAGAAAGAATGGTTATTAAGAGACAGTAGCACTGCATTATAAGATAGGAGTTAGATATTCAGAATGTTGGGCATTCTACAGGAAAGGTGACCTATCCTTCATTATAAACAAGCCCAAGGGGTAAAATAAAAGAAGGGAAACTTGCAGATCTAGGAACGATACTAGACAAATGGTATGGGTAGACATTATTCTAGTCCTATTTGGCTAATCAGCTGCACAAACCATTATGACACATCGGGGGATCTTGATTACTGGCTGGATGTTTGATGACATTAACTGTTAATTGCATTAGGCATGATAGTATGGTTTTTTTAAAGTTCTTATCTTAAAGAGATATATCAGTATTCTTTGATAAAATGTGCCTGCCATTTGCTTCTAAAGAACCCATTGGTGGTGGGGGTGGCATGGGGAGAGGAAACAAGATTGGTCAGCCTGTCTTGCCAACTCGCCACCCCAGGCTTGTGCTCCATACACTTGTCATCAGGGAAGCCCCTGGCCTGGAATGCCCAGCTGCTTGTGATGAAAGGTGATTATAATAAATAAGATCCTTGGTATTTGTTTGGCCAAAGTGTCGCCTGAGGAGCAGTCATTGTCAGTCTGCTGAATAAAAGCAAAGTGCAGACTCTCATTCCAGATGTTGCTCAGCTTTGGTATCTGCAGTGCTAAGGGGAGTGCACTGTTGGGTCCCTCTTAGGCAGAAGTAGAGGAGATCTTAGCAGGACGAAGCTGGACAGTGCCTGATAAAGAAGCCAGAAGCAAGAGAGCAGTGCTCTCACATGCTGGCTTTTGCGGGACCTTGGGTGGCAGCTGTGGTGCCCTTTGCCCCGTTGACTGTCTTCTTACTGATCGTCACTTTCTGGAACAGGTTTTCAGTGCTGTTCACAAGGAGGACTCTGGGCAGTATTACTGCATTGCTTCTAATGATGCGGGCTCAGCCAGGTGTGAGGAGCAGGAGATGGAAGTCTGTGAGTTAACTGTCTGAAAAGATTTCATTGGAATACTGGGAAATAAATAGGACATTTGAGATTGGAGTTTAGACCATCAGTTTAAATAACTCTTCTGGCATACGTCAGCTTTTGTCTGGAGATAACAGGATCCACCAGAAGCCATTGGGGAGGTTGAAGGAAGGACCAGGAAGCTCTGAATCTTTTTTTTTTTTTTTCTGAATCTTGATTAGTAGGTGCCAGGCAGACCTGGCACTGGACACATGACCAGTCAGGTAGCTCACACAGAGTCTCATCATGTCCTTTCTCTGGTAATTGATAGGGTTGTGAAAGCATGAGGTTGGATAAACCACCAGAAATGTATCCAGTTAGAGCTGTTTCAGGAAATTGAAAGACAGAGTCTTCACCCCAGTACTATTCCCTGTTCTGGGATGCTGGCCCTAAGGGTGAGAAGGGGCAGGTAGGGTGTCTGAGCCACTTGAGTTGCATCTGAACTCTTTACTCTCCCATATTCAGCCATTCCAGAGCAGTGTTTTCCAAAGGTGCTTGATGATCAGAGCATTTGGACCATTCTTCCATAAACAGATTCCAGGCCCCACCTTAGGCCTGTGTTAGCTATGCATTCTAAATGCGTCTTCTCACTTGGCAAGTTGGGGAGAATCTCTAGGGTCATTTTCTCCTGGAGGAAGCTTTCTGAGTTGATAAATCACAGCATATTTTTTCATGTATTTTATTTATATAAAGGAAACAGCCACTAATGCCCCATGTTGAATGTTACCAAGTGCCTTGGCCCCGTGTGTAGAAATGGGAAATGGGAATGCAGGGGTTTCTTCTGAGAGGCTAGGTGGACAATAAGTGAAAACTTAAGTTCTCACTTAGTAGCTTTTACTTTTCAGGCTCAAAACTAATTTTCACCAAAATACTACATAGCAAAGGTAGGCGCTGATAATTAGGATTTTTTTCCCACAGTGCTCCTGGCTCCTATAAAAAATGTAACCATATCTTCCATCAGTGATATTCTCAAGCATTCAACTGGAGGATCTTTATGTTTTATAGGCCAGGCTCTCTTAATTCTATATTCAGTGTAACTGCCTTTGAACTGTGGAAGGCTTAGTGCCTTTCACTGTGGCATCGGCTTCCTTGGCTAGAAAGGTTGCAAATGTGTGCTGGCCAGGGGAGGTGTAGGAGAGGGTAATGGGCTAAGCACAGGGGAGGGAAGCATGGCAGGCCAGGTGTTCGCTAAGAATGGACAGTGTGTAGCTTCCTTCACACAAACCTTTCTGCAGATGACCTGAACATTGCTGGCATCATTGGAGGGGTTCTGGTCGTCCTGGCGGTCCTGGTTCTGATTACACTGGGCATCTGCTGTGCATACAGACGTGGCTACTTCATCAACAGCAAACAGGATGGAGAAAGGTGGGCTTGCCTTACATGAAAGGGACAGTGAAGGCCAGTACTCACAGCGTAGCCTTCCACTGATGTGCTCTCTTCCCCCATTCACAGCTACAAGAGCCCAGGGAGACCCGATGGCGTTAACTACATCAGGACAGAAGAGGAGGTAAGGACCAGCAAGGAAGGTAGCACCTAGGAAGCAAGGCCATCTAGATATGCCCAACCCGGAAAAACCATTCCCGCATGGAATCCCATTGGCCCTGTAGGAAGATTCCATGTTACATAGCAGGCCCCAAGTTCGTAGCTCTTCCAGTAATGGTGCACTTACGGCATTCACACTTGTAAGCTCTAGTGCATGTTGCTGTTCTTTGTTTTACTCTGTGTTGGGAGGTGGAGGGGGTACGGGGGAGTGAAACCTAGGGCCTCCACCCAGGGTTAACCCCCAACCCTTTTTTATTTTTAACTAGGGTCTAAGTTCATTAAGTTTCCTAGGCTGGGGTTGAACTCAAGATCCTCTTGCCTCAGCCTTCCAGAGTTCTGGGTCCCCATGCCCACGCAGCTGATGTCACTGTCAAGAACGATAGTTTCATTTGTTTTCAGTTAGGCTCCCAGCTCCCTTTGGGGACTTGTTTAGTCCATACTCAGTTCGGTGAGTTTTCCCTTTCCTACCACCACCCTTGGCCCCTGGGTATGTTCTGACTGTGGGCTGGCTTTGCAGGGTGACTTCAGACACAAGTCCTCATTTGTGATCTGAGAGCTGGCGGTGTGGCCGAGAGCACATGCAGATACCTCTACTACACACTCCTGTCGAGGGCCGCCGTGAGCTGTGCGCACCTGGATGAAGCCAGACACTCATGTAGAAGCTTTTTGTTTTGGCCAAAGTTGACTGCTCCTTCTTTCTTAACTCTTTAACAAGCCACATGAATAAAGGAACATTCCTCAAGATGGCACGGTAACCACCAGGGAAAGAATGACTCACCAAGTTGATCCCATCTGTTGCTGGCCGGGTCCCCATGTGGGTAGTAAGTGATCGCAAAGGTCCTGCCCGCAGCAGCTCTCCTGAGCTGCACACTATGACCTGTACCTGCCACAGGCTGTGCAGCAGCCAGGATGAGGCTGCCTGCGTGAGGGTGAAGTAGGTGAGGTGACTGAGGCTGCAGCAGCAGTGAGCAGGGTGAGGCTGTGGCCGCAGCCTCCGTCAGTGAGCCCAGAAAAGGGTTTGCATGTGGGGCTTGTTCCTGGGCCTAACCCTCCTGCACTGTCTGCTTAAAGCTCATCCATCTGGGAGAGCTTTCAGGTCTGTGTTTGAAAGAAGCAGACTCGAGGATAAACGGCTTGCAGAAGAGGGCTCTTCTTCCCCAGGAGCCCTGGGTGTCGGAGTTTGAGGAAACCCTTTTGGTCTTAGGCTAAGTCTCAAACGGTACTGAAATATGCTTTTCTATGGGTCTTGCTTATTATATAACACTTTACATTCTAAATTTTTGCTAAAGATGTATTTTGATTATTGAAAAGAAAATTTCTATTTAAACTGTAAATATATTGTCATACAGTGTTTAAAAACTTATTTTTTTAAGAGTTCAATGTAAAGTGGAAGTTCTAAACTACTAGTGTTAAATTGGAAGATACCAGTAATTCTTTTACACAAGAAATCCTCTCAAGGAGGCTCCTGGAACATTCATTCCTTTGTCCATCCTAGATTAGCATTTGCATACGAAAACTTAGGCCATCTGTGCATCAGACCATGGTTGCTGAAGAAACCTTTAAGTATTCCCGCTCAGCGGTGTGAACATCTCTGCGTCTTTCCAAAAGAAAGCCTGGTAACTCGGGTCCTCTTTGAGCTGCCTGTGCCCTGAAACAGGCTGCCCTGCTGGACTCTTGCAGAAGGGCCAGAGCCACCCTTGAGTAGGGTTGGCCCTTTCACATTTGTATCCCTGGCCAGATTGTGTCCCACCCAGTTTGGTCATATTGTTCACATGCCACAGAGTGCTTGAGTGTTGCATCTGCTGTGTGACACCCCAGCCTTTGGGTTCCTGTGAGACCTTTTGGTTGAGGATGGTGCACAAAACAAGGCAGCTACTGCTATTTGTTTTGGGAATTCTCTTTGTGCAGTGCATAAGATTGCCCAGGGCCAAAGGCAATTCTGAAACCAAATCTCTGAGCTATTTTTTAAAGAAAACGGATGCAGTGGTTCTCTTTCCCCTGAAAAGAGCACCCCGGCACTGCAGGTCCTTTCTCCTCATAGTAACTCTTGTGTGGTGGCAGCCAGCCTTTGGAAGATCAGGTGCTACAGCCAGGGTCAAAAGCCTGACGTTGAGGAAAAGAAAACTCCTGCATCAAAAGCAGTGTTCTAATTTTGATTTTGAAATTTTTATCTGCCTGACACTGCTCACCTTGCAGGGACATTAGAAACATCATGGAAAAGCCTTTGTTCGTCCAGAGTGGATGTTCTCAGGCGTAAATACATTGCTGCGTCAGAGTCCTGGTGTGGATGAGGCTCAGAGCAAGAGCTCCTCACAGGAGCAGACTCCATTGTGTGCATGGAGCGAGGTTTTCATGTAGAATGTAGTCAAGTCACCTTAGGATTCAGCTTTCAGTGTCTTAATTTTTTATACTTTGTTATTTTTTTATTGACTACTAGGGATGTATTGACTTTTTTACATGACATACTGTCATGTGGGATGTTGGGCAGGAGCAGCAGGCAGCTCTTCTGTACTCACTCAGAGGTTCCTGTCTTCTTGGGTGTTTGGCTATCAGATACCCACGTCCTTTCCACAGCTCTGGGTAGGAAGGGTGGCTCCCCCTCTGCCTTCTACACTGTTGGGAATCAACACACTGCCTTCTCCCTGGGGTCACGGTGATAGGGCAGCCCAACCTCTGTTCTTACACCCAGTCTTGTGTACTAGTGCCCTGGGAACTGGGTCTGAGAAGCAGAGGGGTGACACTGCCTGTGATGCAGAAGTGCAGGGAACGAGCATTTGTCAGCATCACTTGTCCAAGGCTGTTCTTCGGGCCTCTGGTATGACTGTTGCTGTACATAGGTGTTATAGACTTGTACTAACACACGTGTAATTTGGTGTTTGTTAAAAACCTCATTTATAAAAGCTTTCAAAACATCAAACCTTACTGCTTTCTTTGTACTTAGGTTGGGTGTACCACATCTTCCTAGCATTTTGTTAGGCAAGTACCCTGGAAAAGTACGGTCCCAGCATCTTCTGCAGAGAAATTGGTACCTGCACTGGAGCTAAGCCTGTCCACTCAGAAGCAGCTTGGTGACTCACTGCACCAATGATGGGGCCATCTGCGTCCCTGTTCATGTATGGGAGTGCTCGGGCGGAGCACAGTGGCTTTCTGTATCCTAAATCCAATTCCTGCGTGCCTAAACACCGAAACAGCAGCTCCGGGGCTTGCTGGGGTGCGGCTTTGCAGTGGAGCACTTGCCTAGCATGCCTGAGGCCCTGGGTTCTGTCCCCAGCACCACACACAGAACATGAAGGGGTACAGAAGAGGACAGTGGGAAGTGGGTATGATCCAAAGTATATGGTGATTCCTTAAATTTACTGCAGTAAAAGACACACTGCTATTGAACGCCCATCCTACTATTGTCACTCAGTGAAGCAGTCCTGGAAGTCCTCTTTTGGTACTGTCCTTACGAGGTGGGATCAAAAATACAGTGAATACTGTGCTCAGTGCAATCCAAAGGAGAAAAACAGGATTGTAAAGACCCTGCTATGTGTCTTCATCCCTCTTTTTCATTGAATCTGGCTCTTCTCCAAAGTCAAAATCACCACGAAAGATAACATTGAAATAGCCATGACAGTGTAATTGAAGATAGGAGAGAGGATTTCTGGACCTGCTTCAAAATGTGGCAAGGACGATGGGACAAGTGGGTTTGAAGCAGGGGGGGTTAATAAAGTAGAAAATTAAATATTCCTTGTATTTTTCAGTCACACTTTATACGTTATATATATGTATAAAATACCACATGGAGCAAGGAGTGAGTGGTGTACATCTGTAATTCCAGTACACAGGTTGTGGGAAGAGGGCAGAATTTGAGGCTAACCTGGACTACACAGGAAGTTTAAGGCTAACTTGGACTACATGAAAAAGACTCATAAAAACCAAGCAAAAGTAAACACCTCATTGAAACCCATTATTTATGAAACTAATAGGACCTGTAACAAAGTTTTCAGTAACTTTAGAAAGAAAAAACCAAAGAGTTAACTTTGTACTCTTGCTAAGCCAGACCAGACCAGACCAAACCCAGCCAGGCCGGGTGGTGTGAGCCTGTAGTCGCAGCTCTTCAGGACTCAGGCTGAGGTTGGAGGGTCACCAAGGCAGGGAGTTGGGGCCAGCCTGAAGGTGCCAGTGGAGATATGCAGAGGACCTATGAACTGGTATCATTGCCATTCTGCGTAAGGGCACAAAGCTGAGTTTTCGTAAGCAGGACCCATGCTATCAGACTCGCGTCCACCATGGCCCAGCAAAACTGGTCCCATTCTTCACTGAACTGGCCAGTGTGACCCACCTTTTCCCACCTGTGCCCCCTCGTTTCTCAAACTGAAACCCTTTTCATTTTTCCTCCTTTGTTAGGGGACTGGCGTGATCTTTGTCAGATATTTTCTCTCCAGCCTGATCTCCACACTGAGAGCAGGTGAGGCCCCGCACTAGCCAGTGAGGGAGCCCTGTACTAACAGCTTGGACAGCTTCCACGTGGGAACACAGGGCAGGGCAGGTGAGCCAGACCTTAGGGACAACCAGAATTACCTTTTCCCTGAGGCAAAGATTTGGTTTCACTCTTAAATATTTTATGTAAAGTTTCAATGACTACAATAATAGCCCTGTCTTAACAGCAAATTCTGTGGAATGCTAAGAGCCTTTATTTATGCTTAGCCTTTATTACTTAATTTTAGAAAGCTGTACACTATTTTGAAAATCTGCAACTATACATAGAAAAAATATTACAGTCAAAATTTTGTCATTAGATATGGGAAAATATGTACTATAAGGAATTCAGACAAGCTAATAGAAGCTTGATTTATATAAAAGAAAGATGAAATATTTTGTGTTTTTTAAAGACTGGATTTGAAGCATATCAGAAGGGACCTGATACTCAAATGGAATTAAGGTTTAATATTAATCTGGCATTTCTGTTACTTCATAATGTTTTAACCCCAAGTTTTATAAAAAGAAATATAAAAGGTTGGCCAGCCAGCCAGAGGCAAGCAGTAGCGCTAGTTCTTGTGGAGGCTCTGCTATTACAGTGAGGGGCACGAGGGAGGCACATGTCCAGTCCCCTCCCTGCCTGTCTGCACGCAGCATGCAAGACCGTCCTCCAGGCCTGGCCTTCAGGCCTCAGTCGGATCCAGCTTCAGTTGGCTGTTTTCAGGGGGGCCTTGCGGAGGGACCTCCTGCTGGGGGCTGGGTTGCCTTTATTCCTGGCGGGTGAGGTCACATTCCACTGCTGAGGCTGTGCAGGCCTGGGAAAGAAACAGTCATTCTAGAACTAAAGAAACTCTGGTAAGGAACCTCAACCTCAAAAGAACCCTTTGGCAGACTTACGGTTTATCAGGCAGTGATAAACATAAAATGTCATTTCCTTGCCTCGGGGCTTCAGTTTTGTCTGCAAGTAAACAAAAACTCAGTTTTCCCAAACTTTTAAAGGCAGTTGGTGGATGGGACAGGAAAGAAAGTGAGAACTTGCCTTTGGCGGAAAGAGGAGTCTGTGATGTCTCTATGTAACTGACGCCTGCTCCAAATGTGACTTCATCAATGGACTCTGGGTAAGGGGAAACACCACTGTTAGTGAAGAACTGATAAGACAGGCCTCAGGTACAGCGGCCTGAGCAAGCAGGAGAGTTCTGCTCTGGTTCTGATTCACAACCCCTACCTTGCACCCAAGTGATGGCCACGCTCAGGCCTCAAGTTGACCTTTTCTCAGGACTTGATGGTGTGAACCTCCCTCCAGTCCCGACCTTCATTCTCTGACCACAGCTTTCTCAGGCTGCCTCAGCCCCTGTGCTTTCATTGCTCGGTGTCTGGTGACTGCCACATGCCAGACTTCCGGCTCTGTTTGGGCTACTCAGTGGGGTACTTCACCTGGAGCCCCCAAAGAGATGTCGCCAGCTGGCCACCTCTTCACACTTTCCCTTTTCTTGTTACCAGGGATGTTACTACTCAGGAAGTTGTCCATCCAAAGTAGAAATACGTCCCCACCTGGAATCAGTGACCAAGCCCTGTGCATTCTAGCATCCTGGGTGCCTGCATCCCACCCAGTCCATTCTGTCCTTGGTATTTACAGGCTTTCTGTCCACCCTTCAGCAGGAAGCACATTTTTGAGGAACACAGACTAAAGCAGAATGGATCTGCATCCTGGTGCTGTCTTACTGTGTGAGCTATGCTAAGAACCTCAACTCTTTATTTCTTTTTTTTTTTTTTTCCCCAGTACCAGGAATCAAGCTCACGACCTCGTGCTTGCCAGGCAGCTGTTGTGCCACTGAGCTAAATCCCCAGCCCCTCTTCATTTCTAAAATGGAGATAAAAACTTACCTAACCAACACGAGGTTGTCAAGATAAAATGATATTATTTATGTAAAGTACCTGCTGTAGGGTTAAGTCCACAATTTTTTAGCTATAACTTACTCAGTATTATCTTCTCTCACTGGAGTCATGTTTAAAGTCAAGTAAAGCTGCTGCCTACTTCAACACCTTGAGGTCTCTGTTCTAAGGAAACCTAAAATCTAACCTTGGTCTGTGTGGGCCCAAGCCACCCTTACAAACACAAAGAATGTTTGCACATGCTGCGGCCTCTGTGCCTATGGACCACCTTTCCACCAGGCCCTGGTGTGTCACACTGTGTGCACTCTAGTTTCTGCCTGGGCTGCTGGCCCCCACCTGCCCACAATGCATCCCAACTGTGCTTGGCAGGTGTGGTCTCCCCCGCGGTGCTGCACATTCCGCCTACGCTCCGTCAACGCACTTCTAGGAGCAAGGCACAGGCCTGGCTCAGCTGCCTGCCTTCCTCCAAGAGCACCTCTGAGAAGAGCTCTAGAGTTCTCCCTGCTGTCCACACTGTAACCTCCTTAGAACTCAGTCTATCTCTCTGGTCTGAATTCTAAGGTCCCTGTAGTTCTACAGACATGGAGTACTCCTGCTTTTAGGTAATAGTAGAGAACTGTACTTCATCACTGTGGCTTCTGCTGTTCCTATGAAGTTCCTCCTTGTGCTACCCGCTGAGACTCCTCTTCCTCACACACACATTGCTTTTCCTGGTCAAAAGCGTGTGTGTAGTCCAGATAATAATCTCTCACCTTTCCAACAGCACATCTGTGGTAGCTCTCACAGCCGCATCCTAGCTGAGTGCACATGTGCTTAGACCCAAAGGCAGAATCATCTTGGCTGCGTTAAATACAGCAGTAAAAAGGGTGCTTGCTTTCTCCTCTCCCTGATTTTCAGTTACAATTCTAGCTCTGAAATTATTCCTTCCCAATTAGGAAAACTGGTTTCTGTGTTGAATATTCCTGGTGGGCTGCAGTTTTCCTACTGGCTTCGCAGAGCTGGGATAGTCATCCCCACCCATACTGGGAGCTGCCTGTCTTTTTAAACCATGCTAATGTTAATAGCACTTGGTGCATGTCAGTTCTCCGATAATCCTCCAAGGAAGGGGCACGAGCAATGGCCCTTAAAGCATTTCTTCCTGGTTTAAAACAGAGACATGGGCAGAAGCTGCATCAGCAGGGGCATCACACTCAGCATCCTGCGAAAGAGCAAGTGCTCTGTTGATCCAGAGACACCACAGATGAGTTCAGCGCAGATGAATTCCACACACGCACACTCAAGCAGCATTAACATGCCATGCCAGGTTCCACTGCTGAGGGCACGTGCTGCCATGAGGCCAAGAGACTGAAACAAGAAGCCCTCTCCCTGCCTCTGCAGCACATGGCACCCAGTGGCCCAAACAGAAGCCAGGAACACAGAGCATTGACAACTTTGCTCTTTGCAAGGGGCTGGCCATTCTACTTTCCACATCACACCTGTCAACAAAGAGGGAGGCAAACTGCCACCCACCTTTCATGAGGCAGCTGTATCTGAGGAGAGGTGGGGTGGGGAATTCTGTTCATCCATTAATCTCCTTTAGAGAAGCCATGGAAGAAAATTACCTAAAACCCATGAGTACAGCACCACAGGTTGACAGTACAAGTGAGCAGGCAGCACACAGGCGCCCAGGCTGGGAGCTGACACAGTGTGACTGTCCGAAGGGCTGACTCCATGCCCTCCACTGTGGAAGGGAACATGGAGGTGCAGTACTCTTCCTGCTTGGATCTGAACTGGGAATAGGCTGGACAAGGGGACACTGCATGGAATCAGAGGCCTGAGATCAGCCCCAGCTGGGCTGCTGAACAGATCCCTGTGTGACATCCACCACACCTCTGGAGTCAGCCCCATACGCAGTGAGGAATCAGATAGCTCTCAAATGGAAGGACAACTGAGTGAGCATGGAGGGCCGGGCAGGCTGTGCCAGGCGAGGATGTGGCATGCGAGGGCGCGAGTTAGGAAGAGGGAGCTGGAGGCCCCAGGAGGCTGCACAAGGATGCGGATGCGCGAGAGCACTCCAGGCAGCCCCTGAAATGACAGTCTGTATTTTGGACAGTACCAATTTCTTCATACTACCAATCAAGGATCCCTCATCTGAAAACAGAAAATTTAAAATGCTTTAAAATCAGAGCAGTTTAGAATGCCAACATGAGGCCATAAGTGGAAAATTCCACATCAGACTTTGTGTGATGGGTTGCAGTAAAAATACAGGTTCAGTAAAAAACTATAAAATTACCTTTAGGCCTTGTGTAAACACAGTATACAAAATACAAATAAATTTTGTGTTTAGGCTTGGATTGTGTCCCCAAGATACTTCACTTTATGTATACAAATATTACAAAATCTAAAAATACCTGAAATCTGAAATACTTCTGGTCCCAAGTATTTTGGATAAAGGATCCTCAATGTGCATAATAATTTTCTCAAAATAATGGTCTCTATGGAGTTTGAGACAATAAGCAGCTGTAAAATGAAAAATTGGGACAAAACATTTTACCATTCTACCTGCCCTCTCTTGTGAAAAAAAATGGGACATCCGGAAAAACACCAGGTGGAACCAAGAAGACACTGGCTTAAGGCAGGCAGGGTGTAGCCCTCACCACCGAACTGCTGGCTCCGGGTGCTGGGAAACCTAACTCCAGGCATGCAAGGTGCCTCCAGTGCTAAACCCTGACACCCCAGGTAGAGCAGACCAGTGAGTGTGCACACACCTGCACGGCAGGGAGACCATGGAGACCCTGCCTTCACAATGGCACCGTGTGAGTCAGTGACCTGACACATCAGGCCTCAGCTGCATGTTGGTCACACTAGGGTCCTGCTGTTGTGAGATCTGACCGAACTGATGTACACAAAAGTGCCAGGAAGAATGCCAGACATTCAGGAAATGCTCATTAATCCAGCAACTGCAATGGGTGTGAAACACATAATCCAAACAATGCACTGCAGTGCAGCTGGGCATGAGGAGAGCCTGTAGATGGAAGATCCATCTGTCTTGCAGCAGAGTTCCACTACAACTCTAGCAAACCTGGGACTGCTGTGCTGAGCACGGGAGGCAGCTCATCCAAACTCACTACTTACTGTCAGGAGTGCTGATTGCTCTTCTGCTTATCCAGTCCATCGATCCATTAATCTCTCGCTCTAAGCTGCAGGAAGATGCTGAAATAGAGCAGAAGAGTCTTATCTGTCCAAAAATCCAATGTTGCAAAACAGAAAAACCAAATGAGAAAACATAAGATATATATGGTAAAATTAAAATTTCTAATGTTTAAAGTGTTCTTATGAAGAAGAAATTCAGAAATAACTACAAATAAATGACCAACATGGAAAAAATTGCCCATTAGCAGTAGAATTGAAAGAAATGGAAATTAAAGTCATAATTTTTGGTCAATAAACCTCAACAAAGACAATGTAAAATTATAAAACCAGTGTGTCTAAGCAGGGATATAGAGACACCTGTACCATTTGGCATGAATTATGGATAGCTTGATAGTATAAGAATTTTTAAATACAGCCTTTAGCTGCTGGGAATAATCTCAACTTACACATACAAGGCTGTGTATGCAAGGATATTTACTACTGTGACACTGATTTATACAAAAAAAATTGAAAAGCATCTACACTTTCAAGAATTGGGTAGTAGTGCTGGGCATGGTGGTACATGCCTATAATTCCACCACTTGGAAGGCTGAGGCAGGAGGATCACCTCAAGTCTGGGCCTCATAGTGAGTTCAAGGCCAGTCTGAACTACAGAGCAAGATCTTGTCTCAAAAAAAAAAATTGGGTAGTAATAAAAAGTTTTGATACTTACACAACATGGAATGCTATAAAGCCACGGGAAAAGTTTTGAAAGTTCATGAAAAAATTTTTACTGTGTGTCATTGAAAGTGTATGTAGGGAAGCAGGTTATAAACATGTACGTGAAAAGTAGAAAGACTGAAGAAATGAAACCTCATTGTATGGATCAGTCTTGTATTTCATTGTATTTCTCAAATCTTTTGGCATAAACATGCATCATTTTCTTATCTATAATCTTATCCCCAATTAGTGCTACTTGTTTTACAAATAACAAACAGAAACAATTTGAAAAGGAATGAGAACTAGACCTGTGTTTTCACCTGCAAGTTCTTGCTGTCTGGTGCCAACCTCAAGGCTTACCATGGGTGTTCAGTTTCTCTGGGCTTGCAGAATTTAGAGAGAAAGGCAGTACTCCCACACTTCCACTGCGGTGCCTCTTCTTGGACTCCACAGCTTTCTTCACAGAATTCAGGATTGCAATGGTGCTCAGGGACATGGGCCTGTGGAGAATAACAGGCCACAGACACTGACTCAGGGCAGACCACTGTGCAGGCAGCAGCGAGACCGAGATGCCCACCCACTTCCTTTCGAGCCACCCCTCGCCCAGCCTCTTTCTGGCCTCCAAGGGGAGTGGAGCAAGGTGTCAGCACAGACACTGAAGAGCTCCTGTGGGTGACACTGGGGGAGACAGCACAGTGAGCAACTCAGACTCCCACTGCCTCAGTGCACTCCTTACTTGGCCTTGGGCATTAATATCTGCGGAGGCCCAGTTTCCAGTCTGTAGTCAGCGCTGGACCCAGCTGCGGAAGGCCAGCTTGGGGTCGGAGACACAGTGGCATGTTTCTGGCCGACAGCAGCTGGCACTGCTTCTAAGCCTGGGGCAACCTGTTAGAGATCAGTGGAATTGTCAAATGCTATGAGCAAGCCCATGCACAGTCTACTTTAAAATGTGTCAGTGTACATTAGTACAGTTTCTCTTCAAAACACAACTATTAGCAAACTGTCCTGTGCAGATGTTGTGGCACTAAAGAGAAAAAGGAACCAATTTGTTTGGCCTAATCGCTTCTTAATGCAGCAGATCTGTGTGGGTCCCTCAACCAGTGAGAGCTTCTTGTTTCTAGCATGAGCAGCAGCTAAAGACCCTGGGGCCTCTGCTCTGGAGGGGCAGCTGTAAGACGGCAACGACCCCAGATGCCCGCAGTCCCTGGACATGAAGATGGAACACCCTCCTCCAGCTCGTCTTCTAGACACTCCTACATCTCCACCATTACTGTGACTTTTCTGGCAAGGTCCTATGGCAGCGCCTGTGGGAAGGAGAGCTTCAAGCCACTAGTGCGCCCATCACATGCAACAAAGGCAGACACACCTGAGGGCAGGTGAGTTTTGAGGCAAGCCAGGAAAGCACAAAGCAGACTGGAAAACTGGTCAACCTAAGGCGGGTCTCTTGCCTACCAGAGTGGCTTGTGCCCCGGTGTCACTGTTAGCCCTCCTGTTCGCTTCTGCCTGTTTGGCCAGCTCTTGCTCCTGGGCCAGCTGTTCATTGTACTTCTTCATGTCATACTCGAGTTCTGAGGCCAGCTGTTTGTCAACTGCAAAGAAATCCTTGACTTCATCTCGGTAATCCTGCATCACCTCCTAAAATGACCCAAAAGCATCTTTTAGTGTTTCATTGAGTAAAGAACAGAGCTTGACATAAAATAACAGAACAGTAAGCCTTGTATTGCTGAGTGCAAATTGTTAAGGAACAAGCTACTTAACAAAACTGCACATTCCAAGGAAACACAAGCTGACCATGAGGGGAGATATTACTAATCATCGGCAGCTCACGGGCAGCTTCCTGTCTACCTGCAGGCAGTGAGCGGCTGCCTGGACTCCTGATGAGACAAAGATGTGGCTGCAGCGCAGACAGCCCTGCAGCAGTCACAGAAGGCAGCGCAGTCTAGAGGCTGTTCTGCTGTCCCTGTCAGCCTTCCCCACTGGCATCTAGGGATCACATTTTGTTTCTAAAGATTTTACAGTAAACCCATATATCACACCTGGGCAAAAACATTCTCAGGTCTAAAAAGGACTGCGTGGAGCAAGAGCTGTTGGCCAAGAGCAAGAAATGCCTTTGCTGACAACATCAGAGGCGGGGAAAGATAAGACTGCAGCTCCCATGAGGAAGGGAGCCTCAGCAAAAAGAGGAAAATCCCCCTGTGCTTCCAGCCGCCACGACAGCACAATCCCGCTGTGCTTCCCTGATTCACAGGCAGGGAACCCGCCCAGCCTCTACCAAGACACGGCAGCCCTGAGGCACCCTCTGCCTGAGCTTAGAAACAGGACAAAGACTTGTTTAAGCACCTTATTTAGGATGTAAGTTCGTGTGTTCTTCTGAACCCCCCAGGTTTAAAATAGTTACAGCAATAAAAGTATAAGAATAATTGGAAGTTCTCTTTTTTTCATGTAGTGAGCCTATCTTTTCCTCCTTAGCTTCCCTAAAATAAAAAGCTATTGTAAAAAGTGTATCTAGTGTAATTTGGTTGTACCTTTGTAGGCAAAAAATTTTTAAGGAAGAAAAATACATAGTGTGAACAGAGAAAAAAAGTTGTTAAAGGAAAGTATAGTTGCATTTATTTCTGAGTAATTTTTGTTAGAAAGGCCTGAAGTCTCATTTAGGTCTGCCCTGCAAATAAACACCTTGGCTTTGTTCAAATGGACCTTCTGATGGTCCCCCTGCTTCAGGAACAACTCCAGCCCAGGGAGGGTGGTATCTCAGGACCAGCTCAGCACTCCCTGCCCCACCTCCTAGGCATCTTGCCTAGGGTAGTGACTTTGGCCACAGCCATCTGAGATGCTTGGAGGGTAAACACACCATAATTAAATACCTTAACTACCTTTTGCCTTACCCTCAACCAACACACACCAAGATAATTTGTCCTTAGCCCCAGAGAGAGTCTTAAAAGCAGTCTAACCCTATCAAGGTGGACACCTTCAGCACAGCATGTCAGCCCTTCATAAACCCAGCAGCCCTAGTGGAGGAGGAACAGCTGCAGCAGCGCCCCGGTCAAACCCCACCTGGCAGGAGTGCATCTGAACAAATCAGTGGAGTATCACTTTTGCTGCTTTTTCAGTTCTTAGCATTACCGTATGTCTACACCTGCAGAAGATGTGGTGATGAACCTAGTGGGTGAATGCAACCCCAAAAGTCAAGCTCCTCCTTTACCCTCAGATAGTACATGAGCTCCCGAAGAGCTGGCATCTTGTTTTTCTCCAGCACAGTCTTCAGGGAAACGATAATGGGGATGATATTTTCTATGAAGTTCCTCTTCTGGACCTGAAGTAACACAAAGACATGGTTTAGATTTATAAACTTCTGAAAGACAGATGTCTCCCTTGACCTAATTTATTTTTGTGCAGCCCACCCAGCACACTATGGACCTGACTTTGTCACTGTGATACCAGGGATGTGCAGACCTCCTGCTTTTCTCCTGAAGACTCTACATCAGATACTTGGGTGATGTGTGAGTGGGTACAGGTAAATACTACTCCTATTTTCTAAGGAAGAAAACCAGTAAGAAATGTGCTGAACAATGACAAAAAGCTCCAGACCCCTCACGGACCCTTGACTCTGGCTGGCTCTGTTTTCAGTCCTTCCATTCAGCATCTTTCCCCATGGGAGGAAAAGGAGCTCACTCTGCTCTGCAGAGATGTTCTTTGTCCTGAGGTGAAACAATAGTCTAAACATGGCACAGCATGAGAATGGCTTGCTGTGTGAGCGCACACCACTCTGGATATGCAACTCTGTATGTTTTCCAAAGTGCTCTGTATTTACATAGTACTTGATTTAAATGACCAGTAACTCAAATATTTTCCAATAAATCTTTCACAATTAAAATATTCCATTAGTTCACATGTGTAAGATTTATCCTTGTGAACTTGCAAAGTACATTTTCTTCTCATTTAAAGCCACTCATGTGTTTCTTGCTTGTAAAGCACTCATTTCCAAAAAGGCTTATCAGGGCCAGGCATGGTGGCCTAGACCTGTAATCCTACCACACAGGAGACTGACGTAAGAGTACTGCTGTGAATTCAAGGCCAGCCTAAGCTATACAGTGAGACCCTATCTCAAAACACAAAGTCTTACAAATCCCTGGAACAAGAGGGCAATAGGTAGGACAAGAAGCAATTGAATAAATATAAAACTGAACACATGGTACTAGTTTTGGACCACTCTTTATTAAAGAGTGGACTACATGTGTTGCTGATATGGATACAGAAGAGAAGCCCAGAATTCCTGCCCTCAAGCTGCTTCTAGACCAGAGCCACTGTGAGGAACGGCAGATGGCAACAGTGGGAGGCGGCTGAGAATTCACTATGGAGGAGGGGCACCATCGGGAAGGAGGCAGACGGGAGTATGCACTGGAGTCTTCCCTGAAATGTGCTGCTCAAGGCAGGTGGGGATCAAGAGGGATGGGAGAGGGCACTGCAGGATCAGGACCAACCAGAGGGAGGGCAGAAGGAGGGGAGGGGTGGGGCAGGGCCAGGCACACTGAGAGTTTTTTCTTGAGGCGGCTCAGGCTTTTATTCTGAAGATGGTGGGAAGCTGCAAACATGGTTTGTAAAGCGTGTTCACAAGATAAAATGTACACATGATAAATTTCCCTGTCTTGAGCGAACAGTGCTGCAAGTTTTCACTCCAGGACATACTGGGTAACCATTCCATAAATCACCTACAGTCCATCAGCCCCCACGGTTCCTTGCTGCCCCTCACAGTCTGTCTGCCTCTAGTCTACTTTAAACAGGGGAATAAAATGCTCACATTTGTACTTCAGGAAAACTGCTCTGGCAGCAAGGTGGTTCATGGCCTGCAACAGAAAGAACTAGAAAGCTGGCTGTGGTGGCACACGCCTGTAAACCAGGCACTCAAAAGGCTGAGGCAGAAGGATCATGAGTTCAAGGGCAGCCTGCACTACATAATGAAACCCTGCCTCAAACAAACAAGCAAACAAATAAAAACTAGAGACAGAAAGCATGCCAAGGAGACTACTGGGAATGGGACAGGCCTGAAAGGTCAGAGCCACTGGGAACGCAGAGAAGTGATTTGCAAGATTAAACGGGCAGGATCTTGCAGTGAGCCTGTGCAATCACGGTCTACTCCTTTAGGTCAGGTGGAAAACAGAAATGTGCCCTTCGAACTTTGCACCAAGAATATAGGACCTGGTAAGGCCAGAGGGGTAAGTGGGTTTTCCCAAAGTCAATCAAATTTTATCCTCCTGCCCAAACAAAGAACACATGTGGCACGCCAGACTTCTTTTCTGTGTTCTGCTGTAGCACCAGCTACAGCTGTGGACAATTTGGTAGATAACTCAGGAGAAGGAAGAGATGAACAACAGGAGGAAGAGCAGATTCAGACCAGTTCCCGCAAGCTGACAGCAGGACCCTAGGCACAGCTGCCAGGAAGCACAGGCAGGAGCAGCTGCAGGGAGAGGACAGCACACACACCTGAGAGATGAGCTGTTTCTGCGCTTCCTGCATGACGACGTTGGCCAAGGCCACTTCGTCTTCCTCGAGGAGCAGGAGGTCCTTGTCTGGCTTAGCTCTCATCGCCAAAAGCTTGATCTCTTTTGAGCTGAGGACTTCAAAGGTATCGGACAGTAACTCGCTGGCTTCCATGTCCAGAGGTAGGGCACCATCAGCGAAGCAGGCTGAGGAAGGGACCAGAAATCAGCTCCTGTGAAATACCCAGCCCGGGGAAGAGAATTCACAGCACTGGGGCCATTAGGGCCAGGAGCGGGTCCTGCCAGGGGGTCCCCATGGGCCATAGCTGTTGGCTAAGGATGAAAGACAGGTCTTCCTGCAGATCCTGCTACAGATCTGCTGGGCCATTATCAACATCCATTTCACTCCAAGCACACTGTACCTACCCAAAATGCTAAGGCAGATTTTGGAAGTGATATTAAACCGCTGCTCATCTGTGAAGTGCTCCAGAAGAAACTTGTAGATTTTCATTCGGCTTTCTTTGTTTGTCTTTCCCTTCAGTGAAAACAGCTGCTTCTCTCTGTGGCAGAAGGGGACAATTTCACCATCATGTGGGCAGGGTAGCAAAGGTAAAACACAGCATTCAGAAAGCACCCCAACAATGTGCACCCCAAGCTTGAGGATACCCCTGTGTCTGGGGTGTCAGCACAGGCATTTTCCACTCTGGACTCCGGTCAGGGCCTATGTCCCACCTTGGTATGAGATAGCCAACCTCCCACGCCTCACTGTGCTCTGCTGAGAGACGCGGAGAGCGCTATGCTGCCTCACTGACCTCTCTGACTGGGGGAACTTGTTATACTTCTCGTGCTTCTCGTAGTTGTTGAAGTGGAAAATGCACTCGATGAAGTGCTGGAAGAACATGACAGGGTTCCTCTTCAGTAATAGGTGAGCCAGGCAAAACTCCCCAAAGCTGCAAAAGAGGGAGATTCCAAAGGAGAAGACAACCCATTTGCCATCCACAGACAACCTCTACAAATACAGTGGTAACTCTGTCTGTCACAATAAACAGGTTCATCAGATCAAAAACAAGGTAAAAGCTGGACGTGGTGGCTTACGCCTGTAATCTCAATACTCCGGGACACTGAGGCAGGAAGACTGCATGTTTAAGCCCAGCCTGGGCACTTACTGACTTATCTCAAAATATTAAAAAAAGGGCTGCAAATGTGGCTCAGTATGAGAGCCCTATATTTAATCTCCAGTACTATAAACACAATACAACACAACACAACAAGCTAGGTACAAATTCTGCTTCTTTTGTCTGTTCCTCCTCAATGCTTCCCTTTGAATCCAAGGTCAGTGTAAAGGCTTTCACTCTAAAGTTTCCTTTCAAAATTCTAACAAAATGTGACCCTCCAGTTACTTTTCTAAGAGAAAAACCAACCAATCTACCCCAAATTTCTTCTTGAAGTAGAGATCACGGCAACTGTCATTTGAAAATAAACACCTGGACTGAATTCATCCCCTGAACTTCAAGTTTTTGTCCTCAGTGATGACCAACAGCCAGTTTTGGTAACTGGAACTTTACTTTTTAGAAGCAGAAGTATTAACAAGACCTTCAAAGTCTGGGTCAACGCGGCAAGTACAGCACTCTCCACAGAATGACCAAGGGTACCAAGCTCTGGAATCCCCACCAAGCCCTGGGCGCCCTCCTTTTCCTGGGCCCTTGAACCTGGCAAAGGTTCCCAACATGTCTGCCTGATACCTTACATTGGACAGATACCATCAAGACTGCACCAGAATGAGGGTAAAGAGCCTAACAGCTTCCAGAGCTAAATGTAAAGGACAAAAGCCAAACTGCAGACCTACAGGCTACCTGACCATTTCTGTTTCCCTATGATAGCAGACGAGACAATGCCAAAGCCCTGGGCTTGCTCAGGGGCCAACCTGAATAGGGTTCACTGCGGTTCATTCACTACCAAGACTAAGGTTTTACCTTCATTTCCAGATTGGATGCAGTTACCACCTTAAAAGAGCCACTGGGCAGCTCTCCACTAGACAGGAACACAACAAAACTATACAGAGATGGCTGGGGCTGGGCTTTGGAACGTATCACAACTTTGCAGGAGATCCATCTTCCCCTAGTGGGGTGCCTCAGGCTGACACTCAAGTCAGTAAGGATTCTCAGCACACACCCCAAGTAACACTCAGAAAGGTGGTTCAGAAATCATAACGGAAGTAAGCCTAAAAAAACTCTGCTGCAGACAGAATACCACACTTTTAACTGTTCATGTAGGAAACAAGGCAGAAGCCTCATTTTTAAATACAAAAAGAAAACAAATACAATTCTATTTTATACAAAGAATTTTGAAAAATTCAAATAAGGGCAGCCAGAAGCACTGTTTGACCTGAGAACGGTTGGTATATTCTTCACAAACTGTGTTGCTTAACAATCAATCCAGGCTTGAAAGGGAAAAAAAGTCACAGCGTCTGATGTTTTTTCTAAACAATGGTTACTTTGGTAAACTAGTTCTATATTTAACAAAGTAAACCAGAGTTCTCCATATTCTCTGACTAGAATGGAGAAAACCATTAGATAAGTGAAAAGCAACCTCTAAAGAAAAAAGCCCATGATTTTCCAGCCTGTGGTCCTTCACTGCAGTTCATCTGGCATGGCACAGCAGGTTTAACGTTGACCTCAGCTTTCTCCTCAGATTTAATGACATTCATGAAAATGTAAAGCTACAACTTCCGCAAGAGCTGGTTTAAGCTTTGACTTGATGGCAAATGCTTAGCTCCTCAGCTTAGGTCAAGACCAGACTAGTAAAGGTAACCAACAGGGAAGACACTGTAGTGCTGTGGTGGCGGAAGTATGGCCTACATGCAGTAGGAGCACACAGAGCCCTCTCTGTCGGCACAAGAGCCAAGTTGCCCTGGCAGCCAAGCATCGAACATTCAGGTTTCATTGCAGTGTTGGCAGTTGGTGATAAATAAGTGGGTTTTGGGGTGCAGTTTGGGCACTTACTCTCAGGTTCGCCTGCTGTATAGTCCATACCCTACTGGAAAACTGGCCTAACCAACTGTACAAATAAACTCAGTAGTAACGTAATTTACCCGAGCGTTCCTACACTCAGGGCTGAAAGCACAAACAGATTACCAGCATGAAAAGCCAAGCATCAGTCAGTGAATAATATCCAGGAATAACCTTGCTGTTACATCTATCAGGGTTTTATTAAAAGGGCAAGTTTCAGTCTTGATGGGGAAGACACCCCAAGAACTTGATAAACTAGAGAAGAGGGACCATTTTGGCTCTTGTTTGCTGAAAAGTTAACAGAAATTAATGTCCCAAAGAATGCTTTCTAGAACATAAGAGGCAGACGGTGGCACCTCCCAGGTACCCAGATTAGAAAACATCAGTGGCTTCTAAGGAAAGCTTAGTAAATTATTAAGTCAGCCAGTGTCTGTGGCTGTTAATCTTAATCATCAATTACACTGGACTGAGAGATGCCTAGGAGATTTGTAAAGCTCACTTCTGCGTGTACTTTGGTGGTTCTGGGGGTTTGCTTGGGGACTATCGAGTCCCTGGCCCCTCCTCTCTGGACTTGTCCCCTAGTCTCCGCTTCTCAGTGCCATGAACTGAGCAGCTTTCCCCTGCCTTGCCCTTCTTCCATAGTCTGCCTTGGAGTCAGCCCATCGTGGACTCAAACCTCTGAAACCATGAGCCAAATAACCCTCTCCTCCTTTAAGCTGTGTATCTCAGATATTTAATCACAGTGATGAAAAGCTGAAAAATATAGCATCCGTTGCCAGCCTTTCGGAATCCCTCAGGACAAGCACTAGGGACATGTGAAATCACAATGTTGACTCAGTGATACTGTCCAGGTATCTGACACAGCATTAACCACAGACATGGAAAATAAAGGGAGACCAAGGGAGCAACAACAATCCTGTAGAAGATGATTACTCTTTTACTAAGAATCAAAATCCAGGGTTCAAACAACCTGATGAGGCCATAAGGGAAGTAGTCTGTTCACCTTTATTTTGAGTAGTAACAGGAAACATAAAAATAAGACTTATTTCAGATTTCTTTCCAAGACAAATAACATTTTGAACATTTTGAACTTATTTCAGATTTCTTTCCAAGACAAATAACATTTTTATTACTAGGTTCCTATTCCTCATCTGGTTTCCATGCGTCTACCTGAGGATCTGACCCATTTCTACCAGAATTCTACTGGAGTCTGGAGCTGGGTTTTTTCCTACATCTTTGCTCTCTTTGGTTCCCAGCCTGAATCCAAGCCATGAACTGAGCCATAACATCTTCTTGTTACAAGGCCCCTTTTCATCTCTCTTGCATCCCTACATTTTTCTGTGTCTTTTCTCCTGATCTAACCTCCCATGATGCCTTTCCATTGTGTGTTGTGTTCCAGGTGTCACGTTCAATCAAGCCCCTACCCTCTAAGTCAGGGATGGCGAACCTTCTTGAGACCGACGCCCAAACTGCAACCCAAAACCTTGCCACAAAGTGGAAACACTACAATTAAACCTGAGTATACAACGCTCGGCTGCTGGGGTGATGCTGGGGCAAACTGGCTCCCATGCTGACAGAGCACGGTGTGCTGGCTGCTGCATGTGTGCCATGGGTTCCCCACCACGGCTGTAACTATCTGTACTCCCTCTCCTGAGAGCTGGCTTTCCTCCAGGGATGCCTCTTCATTTACATTCCTCTCAAAGGAAGGCTGCTTCCTCTGACAGCCCACAGGTAGGGAACAAGGAGCACATTTCTCAGCCCCTAATTCTTCACTCTTCTATTTACCAAAGGTTCACTGAGTGCTTGAATTTGAAGCTCCCTTTCAGGTGTGAGGCTTGAAGTCTCTACCCCTCCAGAACCCTATAATGTAGCGGGTGGAAGTCAATACAAAGGGTGTTGTCAAAAATACTCTGAAGAAAGGCAAAGCTAGAGAAGGATGCACAGACGAGAGGGGAGAGCTGGCTACTGGTTCAAATACACACAAACACACGCACACGCACATTGCTGCTCCACTTGGCCCAGCCCCTAACAACCAGCCTCTACTGGCACAGCTCCCTCCACCTGCCTACTCTACTCTCTACTACTTCATTTCTGGTCCACCTTTTCCTTTTCATTCTAGATCCTAACATGACTCAGAGTGTCTTCAATGCTCCTACAAAGGAGCTCAACTGACATTCTAACCTTCTATTTTCTCAACTTCATGGCCTGGAGGGATCCCACGTGTATTCCATGTCACCAGTCCACTGCCACATCCTGGACCACATCTCTACATTGGATATCAAACAGCTTACTTGATGAACACCCCACCTACCCTCCAGCTGTCAGGCTCTTTTACCCCATTCCATCTGTTCTTCAATTTCATTACACCCTCTAGGTAGTTAAGCACTTCCTGTTTCTCCCAAACCAACCATCTGTCTTTTATCTCTTTTCTTCCTCCAGGGTGCATTATACTATACTAGTTACTTTCTTGTCTTCTCTCTGGACCCTGCCTCCTTGCACTTTTGAGGCAACTACCCAGTTGCATGGCTTGTCTTCAGATGTCCCCCACAGCCTCATGCAGTCATAGTTGGGACTTTTTGGATGTGGCTGGATCTAGGGTGTGTAAATGTGCGTTAAGGATTTGTGGTACTGAATTAGTCCACTAAATGGCTTATCATATTTCTGGTTGTGACTGGAACCATCTGAAAGGCTTATAGCCTAGATAGATACAGGGGAAAGGGAGGCTCGCTGCTTCTGCTTACTACTTGGTGCTTTCTGCCTACCTTGCCATGGACTGTTTCTTCCTTGATGCCCCTCTGCCATTCCATCCTGCCTTGTAGCTACCTCTACAAATTGTGAGCCTTTAACTTTGGGTGTTGAATATTTTGTCTCAGCAATAAAAAAAAGTTACTAAGAACCACTTGAACTATCCAAGTGTTACTTGGTTATTGTCCTATGACTACTAGATTACAAGGCCATTCACCAATGTGGGCAGAGGAGGAAAAAAAAATCACTATTTTGCAGCCTCCAAATTTTTATTTATATGACCAATTAAAAATTTCATACAAATTTGTTCACGCTAAAATTTTCAGGAAATCCAGCTGAACAAATAAGACTTTATGCTGGAAAACACATATTTAAAAATATTTGAATGCAAGCAGATAGGCTTGGTCTTTGGCCTAAAATTTGGGGAACAGAGTAACTTAAATTACAGTTAGCAAATGTAGTCATCAACTCTTTGAAGAGGAAAATCCTGTCCACATTTGAGCCATAGTTTAAACAAACCCAGAATGCCAAAAATAAAATGAAAGGATTTAAAGAAGGGGTATTAAAATGTTAGAAGAAATGGTGATAAACTTACCATTATATAAGATCTCTTTATTTTTCTAATTTCTTTCTGAATAATGCTCTAAGTACTTGTATTCACAGGTTCTGTATATATTTTATGCCCTGATTAATGCTCCTTTTAAAATATAATTTTTTACATTTAAAAAATTTTAATTTTTTAACCTATTCATAAATACATATAAATCATACATAATTACTGGGTATCGTGACATTTTAATATATGGATATACTATGTAATGTTTCAGTAAGGCTAACAGTATTTATTGACTGCTTTTAATACAGATGTGTAGGAACTAACAAAAGTGACCAAAAAAAATTAGAAAATACAGGTTACACAACCAAGCTTATCTCCAAGGCACAGCTGAAAGCACTCTAGGAATTTCCAGTCATGACGGCCTGTGGGCTCCGCACTGTCCAGTCAGCCAGCCGTGAGGTCAGTGTTAGGGAGGGATTATAAAGGTAGGAGGAAGTGGCATCATTATCTTGTTCCTTTCCCAATTATACAAAGAAACAGAAAAGGTGACAGCCCTAGCTTTGTGCTTCTGGTGCTAGACAGTATTAATTAGAACGCTAACCTTCTGCTACTTGATTATGTGAAATGTTCCTCCTTGGAAAATTATACCCAAAGAAAACAGCAGAAATTCCTCATAGAACTCAAACTAAATTATTGGTGACCATATTTAGAACCACAGGGACTCATTATTATATGCTATTTATAGTCAATACACTCTGGAAAGACCTTTTCCCATTGTGGTAGCTTTTGCCATGGCATTCAACATTGTTTTCCAATTGTAGGCTTGCTTTCAATACAATAAATCATACAGTATTACGAGGATAGCAAATTCTATCAGACCAATTCTCAACTCTTTGAAAAGAAATCCTTAAAAAATGACACAAGTCATATACCACTGTGATTCCTGCTACTTGGGAGGCAGAGGCAGGAGGGCTCCAAGTTTGAGGCCAGCTTGACAATTTCATAACACCCTGTCTCAAAATAAAATAATAAAAAGGACTGGGAATGTACTCAGAGCTCTCAGGGTTTAATTCCCAGTACTGTCCCCCTCAAAGACACAAGGATAGGAACCTTATTGTTTGTATGGTCTATTCCACACCGAAATTGTCTTAATTCCTAAAAATTCTTCCTTACAATTTCCGCACTTAAAAGAAAGTATGAATTCTCTAACAAAATTAACATTTTTGGTGGTCTTAGAAATCAACAGTTATGCTGACAATGACTTCTATACAGATGAATATGACGAAGTCCTTTATTACTTCTTTGGAAGAGCAAACAACATCAGCAAATGTAGCCAATACAGAGATTATTAATGAGTTATTTAATGATTATTTAATGAGTTTTATGTTTTTTTTACAACTTATATGTAAAAAAAGATCTGTTATATAGGTAGCTTTTCATTTAAAAAACCTGTCACTTTTCCAGGCAACTACCAAAAGCTCACAAAATCCTAAATAAGTCAACAGTAAGTGAATCCTAAAGAAAGGAAATCTTATGCATACAGGAAATGAGGTAAATTGTTCAGCTGTCTGACACAAGGGAAAGACTTACCTGGCAATATCTGGGTGTGAATCTATCAGTGTGCTGACAAATCGAAAGAACAGAGAGCCCTTCCATTTCACAAATTCTTCCTACACAAAGAGAAAATAGCATATTGCAGGGCGTGTGCTAAGTGTAGCTGTTTGATGTGCCCAGCTACAGTGGCCCCGCTGATGGTCCCAGGGTAAAAGCACGTATCAGCTCTTGGGCTGCCCAGGAGATGTGGCTCAGTTGGGCAGCAGTCACTCTGCAGACATTTTGAAAGCAGAGACATGGGTGGGAGTGTAGAAGGAGCAAGAAGAAAAAGCAAGCACAGACATGGAGGAACACACAGGCAGAACAACACCAAAAGTTCTTCTGTGCTGGAATGACTCCAAGCACATGGCTTCAGTGTAACAGGACAACACCAGTGTGCCTCTGTAGGAACACACTGCATGGGGAGATGAGCACACAAGGCAGAGAAGGGCAGATAGAGAACTTAGTCAAATGTCTTCTTTTTAAACAGCAAATATTATATCTTCCTCATTACAGGCCAACCATATTTTCTGAATGAACAACATATCCAGTGCTTTGTAGAAACTTGTAATTCACTATTTCTTTCATATACTGAAATCTCTCACTGGACTCCAAGAGCAACTTTTGGGATAGCCCATCCAGCACAGATCATTTACAATAGGTAAGTCTGAGAAACATAAACTTGTTTGAGGTCAAGGAGCATGAGAATTGGAATGAGAACTACTTGTCTAGCAAGGAGTTTTTCTCTACATGGCATTTACTTGCAAAAGGGGAACTTAACAATGTTTGACAGGATGTCTGAAAAATACCCTAAATGAATATTTGCAAGTAAGGATGTGTTTAAAAGACCACATTAAACATCAGAAATGTTCTAATGTTAGAACATTCTAAACCAGAGATGAAACTATTTTTGGATTCTACTATGAAGCAAGCACATTTCCTATGCTAATTAAATATTCCCTTAAACCAGAAGTGGTGGTGGTAGTGAAGGTGGGGAAGGACAGTCTCATTCTCATACGTACTTGCAAAAGGTTGGTAAGCAAGATAAGTGTCTGCTTTCGGATGAAGGGGTCAGAGTCCTTGAGGCACATGGAGACGTGGGGAATGTACTTGTCCACCATGACAGTGTACCGGATGCAAAGATCGCACAGCACAATGATGACGTTGTTGCGGACTGCCACATCCTCACACACCTCGAGCTCTCTCACCAGGGCCGGGATGCTCTTCTTTGCAAGGTCCTCATTCTGTAAGCACAGCTTACCTATCACAGAGAGAACAAAACATGTGACTCCATTCTACAGATCTTATTTATAAAAAGTGAAAAAAAAACCACAAACAACAAAAATGAGAAGTAGATACACCTATCCTAAATGTTACAAAGTTTGAAATATCTTAAGGAAAAATAAACTTCGTCAGGGTTTTACAAGATACATATTATGGAATATTCCTTTACATTAAGAAAATAATCTTTAATAATATCTAACAGATGATTCATTTTATTTATTTATTTTTGCAATACTGGGGACTGAACCCAGGGCCTTTGCATTGAGCTAAACCCCTAGCCCTTTTTTATTTTGAGAAAGGGTCTTGCTAAGTTGCCCAGGTTGGGATCAAACTTGGAATCCTAAACAAAACAAAACAAAACAAAAGCAAAGCAAAGCAAAGCAAAACAAAACCAACCAAACAAAAAGCAAAACAAAACAAAAACCCCAAATTTGCAATCCTCTTTCCTGTCTCAGCTTCCCAGAGTGCTGGAATTATAGGCATTGTGCCACTGGCCACCATACTTGGTTTCATTTTACTTTTGATTATACATATACTCTAAATACCTTTTAAGGAATATGAAATATTAGCTAGGTAGGTAGGTAGATAGGAAGAGAATATCACCTATTTTGTTCACAGACACAAAGAGAGCTGCTGAGTCTTACTTGTATATGTTTGTTCTGTGGCCTAGGGAATGTTTCACTCTTGCAGTTCTTAGGCATTTTTAAAATAACCAATACAAAAAAAATTCATAAACCATATCTACCATAAAATACACAATTACACTAAAGAAAATTTAAATTATAGGTAGGTGTTTTCAAGATTAACAACAATTTGAGTTCATGAAGTAATGTGCTTACGGTTCATCTAGCAATTCTGTAAAGTACTAAATACACCATCTTTCTTATAAACTCAACTTCAACTTTTTCCATTCCCAGAAGTCAGTGAAGTGACTGAATATAACTCTTGATAAACACACTTCATGGTGCTACACTAAGTATAAAAATTACAGGAACAAAGGGCTTGGGTGTGGCTCAGAGGGGCAGCTCTGGCCCAGCCTGAGTAAGGCCCAGGATTCAATCCACAATACCACCAATAAAACAAAACAAAACAAAATACCACCAAATAATATAGGTAATAACTGTAGAGAGTGCTCTGATTTGACTGTCCTGGGTAGTCATCCCCTTCCATCCGCCTCCCTTCCTCTCTCCTCTTCCTATTCCCTTATCCTATTTTTCATTCTTGTTGATATTATTTTTTAAGCTCATGTTGTGGCTATAATGTTTGCATTCACTGAGGGTATTAGGTTCCTGTACATAGCTCATCTTTATCTACTTATTTCCCCTTCCCCTCCTCCTCACCCCTCAACATTGTTCCCTTGGACCCCTTCCCTCTTCCAAGAGACCCAGCCCGTTGTCCCCTTTTATCCATCCTTTATTATTCTCTTTGTTTGTACTTTGTCTCATTCAAATAAGACACCATACTGTATTTAAGCCTGCATGTCTGTTTTATTTCATTCAACAATGTATTTTCCAGGTGCACCTATTTTCCTATGTCTCAAATGTGTCATTCTTTATAGGTGAGTAATATTCCATTGTATTTAGATACCACATTTTATCCAATTGTCTGTTCATAGGTACACAGGCTGCTTCCAGGATTTAGCTATTACAAATTTTACTGCTATAAACATTGGTATGCATATATTGCTATAGTATAGTATCTTAAGCTCTTTGGGAAGACACCTAGAAGATGGACAGTTGCGTCATGTGGAATTTCTAATTTTAGTTCTTTGAGAAATCCCCATACCATGGTTGTACCAGTTTACATTCCCACCAACAATGAAGGAGGGTTCCTTTTTCAGCACAGCCACGCCAGCATTTGTTATTGTTTGATTACTTAATGACTGCCATTCTTTCTGTTGTAAGATGGAATCTTAGAACTGTTTTAATTTGTGTTTCTCTAATGGCCAGAGATGTGGAGCATATTTTCATTAGTTGTTGAGCATTTGTATTTGTATATTCTGGATATTAGTCCTCTGAGGAGTAGCTGGCAAAAATTTTTTGTATTCTGTATGTTGTCTCTCTCTGATTGCTTCACTCTGCTGACTGATTCTTTTGCTGTTCAGAAGCTTTACTGTCTGATATAATCTCATTTATTGATTTTTGTGCAACTGACATTCAGGTTAAAAAAATATTTTCCTATACCCATGTCTTCCAGTGTTTTACCTATTTTATCTTCCAGGAGATCTTTGATCCATTTTTATTATAATTTAGTATATGGTACAAGATATGGGTCTAGTCTCAATCTTATGCATACAGAAAACAAGTTTCCCCAGCACTATTTGTTGATAGGCTATCTTTCCTCCAACATATGCTTTCAGCATTTTTGTTAAAGATCAAATAGCTCAATGTGTCTGTGGAAGTTTCCATATCCTTAGTTTTGTTCCACTGATCCATGTATCACTTTTTGTCCCAGTACCATGCTGTCTTTATCACTACTGCTTTGTAGCATAGCTGCAAGTCAGGTATTGCTATGCTTCCTGTTTTGCTCTTACTGCCCAAAACTGCTTAGCTATTCTGGGTTTCTTTTTCTTCCCTATGAATTTTGGTGGTGTTTTCTCTGGATCTGAAAAGTATGATGTTGGCCTTTTGAGTGGGACTGCACTGAATCTGTGTAACAGTTTTGGGAGTATGGCCATTTTGACAATACTGATTCTGCCTATCTTGAAGCAGGGGACTTCTTTCCATTTTCTGATGTCCTCTTTAATCTCCTTTTCAAAGTAGTACAGTTTTCTTTCTAGAGGTCTTTCACTTCATTGGTTAGGGTAATACCCAGGTATTTCACTTTTCTTGATGCCACCCTGAATTATTTTCATCATTTCCTCCTAATTGAGTTCATTATTGGTGTACACAAATGCTATAGTTTTTTTCTGTGTTGACTTTACATCCTGCTACACTGTTGAGGTTAGTTATTAATTTTAAGGGTTTTTTGGTGGAATTCTTTGGGTCTTCTATATAGAGTATCATGTTTTCTGCACATAATGATAATTTGAGTTCTTTCTTTCTTGTATGTATCCATTTCATTTCTTTATTTTTTTCTCTTTTGTCTAATTGCCCTGGCTAATGTTTCAAGTACTACATTGAATAGAAGAGGTGATACTGGGCATCCTCATCTTGTTCTCAGTTTTAGAAGGAATGCTTTTAGTTTTTTCCCAGTTAGTATGATGCTGGATATTAGTTTGTCATAAATAGCCCTTATCATATTCAGGTATGGTTCATCTGTACCTGTTTTCTTCAGGGATTGTATCATGAAGCGGCACTGGATTTTGTTGAAAGTCTTTTCTGCATCTATTTATACGATCATATGGTTTTGGACCTTGCTGAAGGCTCTCAACTGTGAGCACTCTATCATGCTGGCAGAGCTGGGTGCTCATATCTGAATTACCTCCTAAAATCCATAGAGTGACAGTAGGCAAAAGCTCAATAGCCTAAAACACTACCAGGGCTGGGCTTTATTTAAGACAAAGAGAGACACAGAAGCTGACCAAGCGCCCTCACTTCCCCACACATTATTCTCACCTAAGGTGATGATGGCGTGTGCACGGATCACAGAAGGCATGACAGAGTCTCTGATCTGGGAGGGCAGTTGGGCGGCTGGAGCATCTCCAGAACCCTGAGATGGCAGCACTGCAGGGAAGGGAACAGATTTACTGACAGGGCCTGATGGGCTGCTCAGCCTTAGACGTACAACACAGTCTGTCTTCCAGTGCCTTACAGTGATCTGAGTCAGCAGAAGAAGCCAGAATGGACTGAATCAGGAGGAAGACTCGCTTCTCCACTTTGGCTGGACATAGCTGGGCGATATCTCCCAAGGTAAAAATGTACTTCACCTACAAAGACAATTTACAATAAGAAGAAGGCAAATGAAAACCCCAGCTAGAGTAGTAACATCTCAATGGAATACATTTTTTTGTATCTCCCAAAGTATAAAAACTACTACTTTTGTTTCAGAAAAATAAATGACCATTGGGAAAAACTCAGTTGCTATTTTACAAAACTCATCTGAAGTTAGGGGGACTATATAACTTTCTAATTTAAATCCAGACATTTCTGTAAACAATGGGCACTATTACTAATTACACTGTGATATTAAGTGTAAACCTGGATAATTTTGGATAAACTATAGTATAAAATCATCTCCTGTAATCTCACTAAAGATACCACCATTATTTTTGTGTACAACTTTCATTTCCAAGTATTTCTATAATCACATGGCTTTGACTTCTTCTTTTTATACACTTACCAATCAGCTACTCTGAAGTCTGCACTACTTTGAATTTTTTTGTATTACTTTGAATATTAAGTATTTTTTTCATGTTAACCATACATGTTTAACAATTATATAAGTATGCCATTTAAAAACAATAAATGTCATAATTTTTCTCACTTTTCCACAATTAGTGGAATAATTATTTCTAATTTATATTATTATCTAATCTAATTTGTATTATTACATTTATATTATTTTTAATCCTTTGGTATTATTTACATTAGCTCTAGTGAATACCTCTGTACTCTTGGAACTGTCCTATTTCCTTAGACATGAAATCTATGGTTAAAGGGCAGGTAAAACCATTTTATATTTTAGAACATAATTCCAAACTGTCCTCCAGGTTAGTTTATTACCTAGATTACAACCCAAAGCATACAAGAACCTGCTTTCTCACAGCCACCTCTAGGAGTCTGAGTGTAGTCTGAGCAAGACTCCATCTCAAAAATGCAGAAAAAAAACAAGAAAACCAAAAATCTTTCTCTGGAGTTGAAAAGTCAATAGTAAATACATTTGGGTGTAGGAAATGTTGAACACAGGGTAACTCTGAATGGATTAAAGCATGAACTAAGTACGCATAGGGCAAAACACCATATGCTGTGACTGAAGGGTAGATTCTGGTGACATACTTAACAGTGAAACAAACAAACACAAATCTTAGAGGGAAAGATTCATGGATTCCAATAAACATCTTTCTTATTGTGGCCTGTAATTTCCAAACAAACTGAAAAGCAATTATCTCTCAAACTGTGGGCCTGATCTAAACTATACACCTCTTACCTAAAGTGTATAGATTCTTACAAAAATATCATTTCTGAACATCAGCATAGCAGTTCCTCAGGCACAACAGTCTTCTCTTCTACAAATCTAAACTTGATCTGTGATCTCTAACAACTATAAGAGCTAAGGTAGCAGAGCAGAAACTGAACACAGTCAACTAATTTAAGAGGAGAAAAATGGCCACTGTTGGTTAAATGACGGCCTGTATTGAAGGGCATCATGAAGTCGCTCATTACTTCTTTTACTTGACAGTGTCAGACGCTACAACAGAACTACCATAACTTATCAACAGCGCACTGGTGTGACTGGTCCTGACTCAAGGAAATCTCTTACACCAAAACCATTTCTAATGTAGGCATGCCTTGTAAGACAATCTTGACTCTCTAAGGACATTTGTGTTTTGAACTGTTAAACTGCTCATTTTACTTTAGATATTACTACTGCTTAGCCCTATTCCCCAGTTTTATAGTTCAATGTCCAAATAGCTCAGAAGACATGTTATAATAGTTTTAAAATCCAAACAAATGAAAGGGCCGAAGAACACACTCTATTATTTCCTTACTTTATTATTTCTACACTTGACTCTACTAAGCTTATAACCCATATTATTTTCCCTATTGGAATCAGGTTTTTCCAATCCAAACTAAATTAAGTATTCCATCAAGTTTGCCCCCATAAAACATAAGTACATAAAACAAACAAAAAATGGGTTATTAATTAAAAACAAGTTCTTCTAAAGAGCAAGAGGCTACCAGAACCCTTTTCTTAATAGCAACTGAAGTGCACATTACAATATCATCTTTATCTTAAAAAATCCCACTGAGGGCCAGGGATATAGCTCAGCTGCACAGCGCCTGCCTGGCATGTGTGAGGCCCTAAGTTCGATTCCCAGTACCAAAATGAAATAAATAAATAAAAATTTCCAGTGATATAAAAGGAAGAGGCAAGAAAGGAGAAGCAGCTGCTTACCAACAGGTCTTCATCCATATTCCCTGCCCTGTCCTCCTTCAGAACGATGTTGGAAAGGTGGTGCTCACAGGTAGACAGCACATCCCCACAAACCTGCTTCAGTAGTTCCTGTATTGAGTAACAGATCAGTTCTGAAGGGGCTGCACATCTTCAGGGCAAGCTGCCAAACCCCAGGAGTCCTGGCAACATTTGCAGAACTTCCAGGAGTTTCAAATGCATGAAAGTGCCAGCCATCATGCTTGCCCAAAACCATAACAGATTTTTAGCAAGCTGCCCATAAGAACTGGAGAGGTGGAATTTTTAGAGAAGAGTGTATATGTCATCTTTCTTTCTACATTTGCCCTACTAGAGCAAACGGCAAATATTCAGGAAGATCTTGTGCCCTAATTTATAAGGTATGGGTAACAGCATTGCCCCTCTAACAACAGAGAAAAAAGTTGCATTATGTAGATTGTAAATTAACTACTGTGATAAACATTTTCCTTTAAAAAGACACAGAATAAAGTGGGCTGCTGTCATCCCTGAATTTACTGCTTAGGGACAAGTTCTCAGTGGCTCTTCCTAGTCATGATAAATTCCAGGGGCCACTGCAAGTGGACATCCAATACATACGTATAGCAAGACAGCCTCACAACCACACTCTAGGGCTCCCGGGCTTCCTGCTGCCTCAGAGGCCATTCCAAGCACCCAGGCTCGGTGAAGCGCCTACACCCCAGCATTTCCTCATCACCTCAGGCACACTTTTCACTTTGGGATACCTGTGCTCCACTGACATAATCTGCTCACTGATAAGTCTCCCTGCCTCATGGGAGATTTAAGCTCTTTTATTAAGGAGTTAATAAAAACTCCTTCCTTTTCACCTGTTCCCTCCTGTTCCCCTTGAAAAAAGCCAACCTCGCCCTCATCTGCCTTGGCAGAACCAGACGTTCAACTCTTACAAACGACACCCCCTGCTAGGGCTGTTCTGGCCCACGGACACCCTCTCCCAAAAAATGTTCTGGCCCACAGATACCCTCCTCAAAAGTTAGCTTTAAAAACCCCATGCTTTGCTCAGCTCAGGGCTGTCCTAGTCCGCTGGGCAGCCCGCCATGTCGCTCGCCCCCCCAGTAAAGACTCCTCTCGTGTCAGAAGGTCTGGTCTGGTTCTGTGTGGGTCTCGGCCCTATCATATCATTTGGTGCCAAAACCCAGGAGGGATGCCAAGGCTCCAGCTGGTCCCTCCTGACTGGGACCTCTCCCCGGATCCACAACTGACCACCTCTGAAGTGGACTGTGAGCCTCGGACCTGCCACATTGCTGACCTTCTCATCCACAGACACTTCTCACCAGGTGTATGTTTCCTTTTCATGTCCTCTCCTCCCTGTCCTTGCCCCGCCTGTTTCCCTCCTATTCCTCCCTTCCCCTTTACCCTGATTTCTTTGGCCCCTCCAAATCTGCCACCTACTTTGTTGCCTGCCTCTTTCTCTCCTCGCCACCTGATTGCTGATGAGTGCGATGGACCCCCTGTCCACCCTTGGCAATCCCCGGGCAACTTTCTCAACTGGGTCAACACTGAATTCCTTCAGGGCACTTTTGCCCTCTTTGACTCAGACCACGTCCATCTTTTTTCCTTCCTCCTCCTTGCTCTCCTCTTCCTAACTTAGACCTTCCTCTGTCTTTCTCTCCCTTCCTCTTTCTTTCTCTCTTTGAAGATCTCCCTGTCACACCTCTCGGATGGCTCATTCTTCCGGCTTCATGCCCCCGGCCTCTGCAGCCCCCTCCCAAAATCATGTCAACACGTTGAGCTGTTCCTCCTCCTCTTGTGATCCCCTCCCTGACTGGAGACATCCAATCAGGGGGCCTGGGTCTCTCATCCCATTTGGCACTTCTCTTGGTCACCCTTCTCATGACCCCCTCCCTGACCGGAGATGTCTGCTCAGGGGGCCTGGGTCTCTCATCCCATTTGGGATTTCTCTTGGTCAGCAGTGGTCCTCAGTCTCCTCATTCTCTGTTCTCTCGCCTCTCCTTTGGTTATCATGGGCAACACCTCCTCCCTCCCCTACTCTCCCAATGCCTCTGTGTTCCATAGCCTCAAGTCTGTTCTCCATGGCCCCCTCGGCCTCTCTGATCTCAAAGTCAAACACCTCACCTTCCTTTGCCAAATCACCTGGCCACAATACAAACTAGATAATGGGTCTATCTGGCCACCAAGGGTACTCTCAACTTCAGTGTCCTATGGGACTTAGACAATTACTGTCACCGCAACGATAAATGGTCTGGGGTGCCTTATGTCTAAGCTTTCTTCACCCTCTGTGACAAGCCTCAGCTGTCTGTCCTGTCGCCCCAGGAGATTCTCCTGGCCAAATTCCCCACCTCGCGACACCACCTCTCCGATGACCCCTCCCAAACTCCCTTCTTCCCTGAGCCGCTTGGTGGCCCAGCCCTTAGGCGACCATCGGCTCCTTCCCAGGCCAACCCCGATGCACCCCCCTGCCGGCCGTATGGCCCCGCTGCAAGCTCGATGCCAGTGTCCCCTCTCTCTTCCACACCTGCCTCACACCAGCTCCAAAACTGCCTCATCAGCTGCTCTGACTGCTCTTCTCCTCCCACCCCCATCTGGGCTTTACCCTCTGAGACAAACGGCAGGAGCAGAGGGACTCATCTATGTCCATCAGCCTTGGTCTCTCCTGGATCTTTCACAACTTAAAAAGTGTCTCGGCTCTTTTACTTCTGACCCTTCCTTGTATATCAAAGAGTTCCAATACCACTAAAAACCCCGCCGCCTTCATGGCACGCCTGTCACTCACTAAATTTACATACCTCGACCCAACCTCAACAGAGGGCGAACTGGTCCTCAACACCTCTTTCATCTCTCAGTCAACACCTGAGATTAAAAAAAAGCTCAAACACCTTGAGGAGGGACCCAATAACCCCGCACCGTGAACTTTCAAACCTGGCCCTCAAGGTCTTTAATGGCCACGAAGACGTGGAAAAAGAGGAAAAACTTGCCCACACCGAACAAAAATGTCAACTTCTCGCAGCAGCTCTCAAGCCTCAGGCCCCCAAACAGTCTGCTTGGCTCCCAACCAACAAGCAGCCTCCAGGGCCCCGCTTCAAATGTGGACAAGAGGGCCACTGGGCGCAGTCATGTCCTAATCCCTGACCGCCCCGAGGACCCTGCCCACAACGTAAGCAAACTGGGCACTGTAAGGTAGATTGCCCCTTCCTATAACAGGAAAGGTCCTCTGCCCCCACTCAACAGCCCAAACCTCAGCCGTCCCTGACAGACCTGCTTGGCTTGGCTGCAGAGGACTGATGGGGCCCGGGACTCCAAACCCCCCATTGATAAGGCAGACGAGATTCTGCTGTCATCTGAGGAGCCCAGGGTAAAAGTCCAGGTGGCAGGTAAGTCAGTTTCCTTCCTCATTGATACAGGGGCCTCCTGGTCCATTCTCCCCAGCTTTTCTGGTCAAACATTCCCATCAAAGATCATGGTTGTTGGGGTTGAGGGTTCTCCCCAACGCCCCCTCACCGCAGGCCCCCTACCTTGCTTGATTGGCTCTAGGTTATTTACCCATTCCTTTCTCATACTGCCTAGGTGTCCCACTCCCTTGTTGGGGCAGGATACTCTTGCCAAGCTACACATCACGCTTTCCTTCCCAAAACCTCTTTCACCATCACTGCTCCTAGTCATCCTCCCATTTTCTCTTTCCCCCAGCACTTCATCACAAAAGACAAAACTCATAGCCCTCACCTGTGCCCTGACCCTGGCCTCAAAAACCACTGTAAACATTTACACGGACTCTAAATATGCCTACCACATAGTCCATCACCATGCTGCCATCCGGGCAAAACATGGTTTCATAACCACAAAAGGTTCTTCCATTCAAAATGGCAAGTTAATCCTTCAGCTCCTCTCAGCTGCCACCCTTCCAACCCAGGTTGCCATCATCCACTTCCATGGCCATCAACAAGTCACTGACAAAAATCACACAAAAAAACAATTGGGCAGATAAAGCAGCCAAGTTGGCAGCCCTCCAGCCATGGCCATCCCCCAGTCTCCCTCTTAGCACCAGGCCTTAGTTGCTCCCCTCTTCATATCCCACTGGGTTCACCTACTCAGACACACAGCTCAAACAACTGTCCCAAAAGGGTGCTTCCCCTGGCCCAGAGGGCTGGCTCCTCTTGGATGGGAAGTACTGTCTCCCAGATGACCATGCCCAACAGTTCCTTAGTCACCTACACAACTCTCTACACATAGGCTGGAGACTGCTAAAAAGGCTCCTAGACCCCATCATCTTCTATCCTGGCCTAACCCCCTTACTACAGGACATCGCCTCACGATGCACAGTATGCTCTAAAACAAACCTACAAGACTCTCTTCAACCTCCCCTCACTTTTTCCCCACACCAGTTTAGGAGAACACTACCAGGAGAAGACTGGCAAACTGACTTTACCCACATGCCCAGGCACAAAAAACTCCAATACATACTCACCTAGGTAGACACATTCATAGGATGGATACAAGTCTTCCCCACCTCACATGAAACAGCTGACACCGTCACACGGACCCTTCTCACAGAAATCATTCCCTGTTTTGTCCTATCCCAACCCATTCAGTCAGACAATGGACTGGGATTCATCTCCAAAGTCACCCAAGTTTCACAGGCCCTTAACATCCACTGGGCCCTACATGTTCCCTACTACCCTTAGTCTTCTGGTAAGACAAAAAAGCTAACCATCTCAAGGTACACCTGTCTAAGCTCCCCACAGAGACTCAGCAATCATGGCCATTCCTCCTGCCTATGGCCCTGACCCAGCTTCGCGCTTCCCCCACCAACCCTTCGGCCTCAGCCCCTTCAAACTCATGTAGGGATGGCCTTTTCTCCTCCAGCTTCCCCTGCTGCTCCAAGCCCTCTCGGTAATTACCTGCCTCTTCTCTCCCTTACCCGTCACCTCCTCCGATCCTATGCAGACCAGTGTTCAACAAAGCCTGACAAAAATTCAGTTCCTTCACAGGTTCGGCCCGACCGATTCCTCTACCCACCTAGGCACTGCTGAGACCCCTCGCAGCCATTTGTGCTCTTCTCCTCGCAGCACTCTGCGTTTTCTCCCTCATTTGCAACACGGTCCAAAAATTAACAACTCAAAATTTTAACCTTATGCTTCTTTCAGATTTCCAATTTCAGCCAGTCCCCAGTGACGATCCAGATGAAATACCCTAAAAATAAACCTAACTACGCCCCTCCTCAGCAGAAAATAGCTACTGACAAGACACGTCACCCTACCTCTATTAGATCAAGTCTGGAATGACAAGTCACAGGGCAACCCCCACCCTCCGTGGGAGATTTAAGTTCTTCTGTTAAGGAGTTAATAAAAACTCCTTCCTCTTCACCTGTTCCTTCCAGGTGTTCTCATCACCTTATTTACTGGATCTGGCACCTCGCAACGTCTGGCTCTTCCCCAAAGCCAAAGTGACTATGAGAGATAAACATTTTGAATTGACTTAGGACACCAAGGCCATGATGGTGCAACTAAAAACAGTTACACAAAAGGACTTTTACAACTGCTTCACAAGATGGAAAGAATGATGGGATAGGTCTGTCTGAAGCGAGGAGCAATATTTTCACGGGGATTAATGGCAATGTGTCTTTTACTATAATACATTTTAAAAATTCATAGAATTATTCAAACCACATTTCATGGAACATGTCAACTTAGATTTAACCAGGACAAAGAACAGGACCATTCTCTCGACAAAAGCCAAGCCCGCCCTCATCCGCCTTGGCAGAACCAGACGTTCAGCTCCTACAAAACAACACCCCCTGCTAGGGCTGTTCTGGCCCGCGGACACCTCCTCCCAAAAAATGTTCCGGCCCACACAGACACCTTTCCCAAAAGTTAGCTTTAAAAACCCCATGCTTTGCTCAGCTCGGGGCTGTCCTAGTCCGCTGGGCAGCCCGCCACGTCGCTCTCCCCCTCAATAGACTCCTCTCGTGTCAGAAAGTCTGGTCTGGTTCTGTGTGGGTCTCGGCCCTATGATATCACTCATGTGTTTGTCTCCTAACTAGACTGAAGGTACCTTAGGAGGACCTAAATGGGTGATGGTACCATCACCCACTGCCTAGCAGCACTACCATGACACAGTATCCAATCAGTGTTTGCCAAACTGTGCTAAAATTACTATTAGCAACAAGATGTTTTTTTAGTCTGACTTGGCCTAAAGTGTTCCAAAATTGTTATCTTTATTACTTTTAAACAATAACTGCACCAAGACTAAGAGAATACACAAGATGGACCACCACACTGGCCAAGAAAGCATTTGAAACCACAGGCTTTCTCCTAAGGAGGAGAGAAAGGCTAACATGTGAGACCGCAAGACAACAATGTGTGTGTCCAGGGTAGGACAGCTGATGAGGCCATCTTCTCCTGGGACTCTCCAGCAGGCAAGGCTCACATCAAGTTATTGTCAAGGTTCTTGTGAACAACTTTGGCGACTCAGGGCATATTCTGAGGCAAGTCCCTTCATTTTAAGCAGACCTAGTATGTTTCTTCCTCAGTTGGCTGAAATTTGGCTCCTTATAATTTCTACCCATTGGTCCAGATGAGTCTTCTGGGTATATCAAATAAATCCAATGCTTTTACTTGAAAGTCCTTCATATATTTGAATTGAGCTAGGCAGCCTGTCCAAATACAGTACAGTAATTCTTCCCTTCTCCACACTAGACCCTCCATGGGGGGGGCCTTCAGCTCATCTTTACATTACCTTACTGTAACCCCTCATCTAACTGTTCTTGTCTAGACAAACTCCATTTTATCAACACTTCTCCAAAAGGCTGTCACTGAAATTGATGAATTATATGTCCCATAATGAAAATATATGGTGAATATTTAAATTTTAAAAACATTTATTACAGTAAAAGACACAGTCATTAATCCCCCTCAAAATACTACTTACCCCCTCACTTTGAACACACTCTTCCCATTGTTTTTGCCACTTTCTGAATCAGTTCTGCAAGTCCTCTTTTGGGTCTTTATGAGGTATGATTAAAAAAAAGAGTACAATAAATACTGCTGCTGAATGCCATCCCAGGAAAGGCAAGCTCCTAAGATTGCACTGTGTTCTCATCACCTTATTTACTGGATCTGGCACCTCGCAACGTCTGGCTCTTCCCCAAAGTCAAAGTGACTATGAGAGATAAACATTTTGAATTGATTTAGGACACCAAGGCCATGATGGTGCAACTAAAAACAGTCACACAAAAGGACTTTTACAACTGCTTCACAAGATGGAAAGAATGATGGGATAGGTCTGTCTGAAGTGAGGGGCAATATTTTCAGGGGGATTAATGGCAATGTGTCTTTTACTATAATACATTTTAAAAATTCATAGAATTATTCAAACCACATTTCATGGAACATGTCAACTTAGATTTAACCAGGATAAAGAACAGGACCATCACCTTTCTTATTCTAGGCACAATTTTATTAATGCAGGGCAAGATCTCATGGAGATTTTAATGACAGCCACAAAAGACTACTAATTCAAATCAAGAAAGACTTTTCATATACACTGCACTGTTGAGCTGTATCTTGATCACCCATTCTTTGGGTAATTACTTATTTTTAGTAAAATACAGAATGTTCATTTACACAGAAATGACAAGCAGTTTAGGGATAACAATTGAGTCACATGGATTCAAAACATCCTGTGGTTCTGAAAATCACAGGGCCTTATTCCACTGTCCACTACAAAGGAGGTGGCATTGGTGTAAGAAAAACCAGCCGTTTTTCTAACACTTTAAGTTTTAAATTTTGCCTCTCTTCTAACTCCTGGTTTCTAAATCTGAAGGGAACTCTTTGTCTTCCTCACGAGGTTCTAATACAGTATGACCTAGTCTTCTAGTGACTCCTGGCCGTTAGCAGGCAGCAAGTGACTTATGCCCCCTCATATACAGAATCCTTCTTCCAGCCCATCCTGGAGAAAAGAATCCTGGCAAGGTTCAGAGACCTTTGTTCCCCTCCTGCCTCTGCCATCAATCAGTTGTGTGCCACTGGCCCTTGCAGGATTATACTTTCAAAATCTGCCTCAAATTTTCCTTATATCATGCTTTCCTTATTCATACTAGACTTACCATCATACCAGCTATTTTTGTGTGATGCTAGTCAAACTGTTCCTTCAAATATTTATTTAAAAGCTTTTCATACAATTTCTGGGGTCATAAGAAAAAGATTAGAAAAAACTAGTAACCCAAGTATCCCTTTTACCAATGTAAGTGCTGAAAGGCATGTACACTAGAATACCAGATACCATGTACATAAGAAATGGGTCAAGCATTTTTTTAGATAGGTGTATTCCTACCTCTCTTAAGTCACAAGCAAAAAACTTGTAATATATTGCTGTACTAGATCTGTTATTTTAAGTGGAATAACAGGACATATAGAGGAAAGTCTTGCAGGAACTATTCAAGAAAAGACTGCTGAATAGAAAAGTACTAGGTACTTTCTTAGAAAAAGTAATCTTTATTTTAATTCTGGAACACTTAAATACACTATAATAATTATTTAAACTAACTTGTGGTTTTTATAATCCTTATTAAAATCCTTATTAAAATTAAAATTGAAGAGCCCATAGTCCTCAATTTTTTCCATTATGAATAGCACTATCTACGGGTATATCTCATGACAAAAACAGAAGACATTTTAATGAAATGATTCATTAGAAGTACCAGTATGGATACCTACAGGGCTCAAAGCACCTCTCTGCCTTACATCAATCACTGATTTGGATATTTGACTATGAAAATGTTAGCTATAGACTGTGGGAAATTTGGGCATATGATACCAGCAAGAGGTTTGAACAGTGTAACCTCCGAATAATAGGACAAGCGTTTTCTGGATTATGCCTTATCAAAGGGTTAAAAATCTCCTCTCTGGAAAGAAATGCCTGATTAGATGGAAAATTATCTATTAAATGTTCTTAGAATGAGGGTCTATGCTATAATTTATTGAACGATACCTCCCAGAATTCTCACCAGGAGATAAATGTCAACTAACAGGCATACCTTGCTAAAATACACTTGTCCCTGGAGCCAAGGTTGAGACATCTAAGGGCACCTAGGTCAGGAGCAGCTAAATCTTCTTTGGCCATGTGAGCTGCTAGATGAATAAGCACAGCAGCAGTGACTGGGAACTACACGTCCTTATACCCCTCAAACTTCAAAGCTCGGTAACAGGCCCAAGTAGAAATACAAGTACAAATAAGTTAGGAACATCAGGGGAAATGTGTGTGGTCATACCTGCTCTTCCATTGGTGTTTTTGCAGATGCTCTACAAAGACTTTGCAAAGTATCAACAGCTGAACTGATCAACCCAAGAGACCACTGAAATCGATTCAGCTTACACTTGACAACATCTAAGAAGGAAATAAAAACCTTTTAAGTACATATAGGCACACGCACATATCATATGTATACACACACATACTATGAAGTCAATGACTTCTTCAGAAACGTTCCCCAGTAAACACTCACCTGTCACCCTGGCCCGGGTGCTCTCAGGAAGATGCTTTGCAATATGCCCAATAACACACAGTATATGTCCTAAGGTGTTTGAATTGGGATTCTGCTGACTAAAGGGAGGACAGGAGAAATGCCAAGAGAGAATCAAATTAAACACTGGGCTGCCAACAGAATGCCTTTTCTTCTAGATTGTTAATATTGGACAGGCAGAGTAATTTAAGTGTCATGCTATGAGAACATTAAGGGACTTAATGGACAAAGGGTAAACTGACTTGCTTAAAAGGGATTCTTATTTTCCATGTTTTTTTCAACTAGAGTTTAAAAAAACTATCTCTGTACATAGCTATGAAATAGTCTTCTTCCTTAAGACATGAGCTTTGTTTCCAACCTTTAGTGTCCACCAGTGGGCTGTGTTATGAACATGCGAACCTGCTGATTTTCTCCCAGGACTGCAAGATTTGGGTGTAGTCCAGCATGGGTGATGAGCCAGCGATCTTGGACAGCAGCATCCAGGCGGGTGCAGAATGTTCCGTGCCAGTGTGAGAGATCATATTGTTTATAAAAGTGGACGAGAATTTATCTTTCTTGGACCAGATATGAAAAGCTTTATTTAAATAGCGGCTGGGAAAAAAAGATGGGAAAGCAGAACTGTAACTAACTATAAATGCATAAAACTGTTCAAATCAGCTCCTAGCTAAAGGGTATCAAGTTTTGTAGCTCCAGGATTCCTCTGGCACAAATAACATCCACTCACAAGGCCTGACACCAAACTAGGTGTCTTTTAAATTTTTCTTATAAAGTAGTATTTATTTTCCCCTTACAAAATACTTATTTTTTAGGGATTAGGGCTAGGGATTTAGTTCAATGGTGCAGCATCTGCCTGACAAGTGTGAGGCCCTGAGCTTGATTCCCAGTGCCTCACCCAAAAAGTATACTACTTATTTTTTTAACACAAACAATAAAATTTAATTCATTTGAGAACCTTCTTATCCTCATGCCCTCCAAAATGTCCACACAAATATATAGGATAGGTTAGCATAACGTAGTTCCAAAGCTTACAGGGTGACGAAAAACAGAAACACCGTCCTTTTTTCAGTCGAGATTAGGGAGAAGTGACATTCTAGCATTTAAATATGGTGAAAGTAAATGAACTAAAATTTGCTATATCTTATTAATACTACTCAGGAACAGACTGTCAAAGCTTTTAAAATAAAAATTTACTAAACTGTTTTTAAAACTATTTTTTCTTTTCAAAGCAATGAATTAAACCATATAAATGAGATAATGTCATGTTATATATTAAAGAGAAGAGAAAAATACATTCTTCCATCAATTAATTTTTTCTTACACTGCTAGGAACACACACACGCCCACACATATGCACCCACACACATGCAGACTTTAAGTATTTTAAGAAAGAAATTTTAAAGGATGCAGAATACAACTGTAACAAAATAAACATATCCATTATCGTAGTAAGCACATGTCCATAAGTGGTTTTATTATTAAATTATTATTTATTATTAAATTAGCTATGTATTAAAAATTTATTCATATGTAAAGTTTTGCCATAATTAGCTCACAATGAGTTTTACCTGGCTTATGTCCAAATATAAGATAATAGAATAAACAGATATTTTAGAATTTATTTTCAAGGAGCCATATAAAATATTAAATGAGATTTATTATAAGACAGTAGAATTGGCAAAAAATTCTCTGAAATTCTAGTTTTTAAGCCTCCACCTTGGTTCCTCTCTCACAATCATAGTCCTCCACCTTTACTAAGCCATTCCCGGCCAGTCTTCCTCAGTCAGCCCACAGCAAGCACAGCCCTTCACCACCTCACCAGAAGGAAACCCAAAAAACACTAACCCCAGCCACCACGCTCCAATATCCGCACTACTGTGAGAGCCAGTCTTCATCCCTGTTTTATTTGGCCTCCACTCGAGGTGTGGCATCATCTGAAGACTCTGGTCTACTTGTTGCTTCTTTTATTTCCCTTCTCTAATCCTTTTCTTTCTAATCACTCCCCACCATGCTGGGGTGTAGGGACTGAACCCAGAGTCTTGTATATGAGCCACACTCCCAGCTTTAATTGCTGGCTTTGAAAGACTCTACTTCTCATCCTGTTATTATAAACTGACTCTGGCTGATCTCATTCATTACAAAGAGCTCCCCACTCCCAGGTGACCAGACATCCCAAACTGGACTTCAATCTTCAGCCTTCCTTGCATTCCCCACCTGCCCAACCTTTGTTCTTCATACCTCAGTCAATGGTAAAGGAAAGACAGACTCTGTGGAGTCTTCTGGCCTCTAAGCCTTTGCATTGGTATTTTCTGCCTCAATAGTCTCATTATTATGCCCACCTGGCTGATTCCTACACATTCCCCAATACTCAGCTCATGCCCTACTTCTGGGAAGCCATTTGCTATGGTTTAGATGTGGTCTGTTTGTCTTTCAAGGTTTGTGTGCAGGAAGCGTAGCCCCGTGTGACAGTGTTGAAGATGGTACGAGATGAGGCCTAGTGGAAAGTAATGAGGTCATGGGGTACTACCCTCAGAAGGGCCTCTTGCCATTAGTTCTCATGAGAGCAACTTGTTATAGAGTAAGCCTGACCCTGGAAGGTCTAGCTTCCTGTCCCCACTTGGTGATCTTTCAGTGCCTGGCCCTACCATTATGACACCACCCACTATGAGGCCCTCACCAGAGGCTGACCTGGCCAGGTATCCTGCTCTTGGACTAAGAGCTTCCAAAACCATAAGCTGAATAAACCACATTTCTTTATAAGGTGTACTGCCCCAAGAATTTTGTTTTGGCTAGAGACAATGGACTAGGACACTATCCTAAACTTAAGAAGAGAAAGGAGGGGGAGAAGAAAGAAGAGAAATAATTGTACCAAAATGCTATCTGCTCTTTCTCTGTGCTCCTACCACTCTCTTTAATATCTTAATGTATTAAAATTTCCACAATACTGAAAGCATACTGAGTAGAACAAGTGTCGGAATGCTGCAATTGCCAGCAAAAAAAATGAGGTGCTCCAACTATAATTATTTATAGCTCCTCTTCCATTTCCTTCTACCTCAAGCTCAATCTTCACCAATTCTACTCCTCCCACTTGGCAGACAGCTGTGAAAATGACTCCCTTTCTCCATTTCCACTGTGTCCACCTTAATTCAGGTCCTTGTTATCTCTGACTTCAATTACTGTGACAGTAGCCCATGTTGTCAGACTCCAGTTCTGTCTTCTTGGTCACTAAACACAAGCCCATTCTCCAGACTCCTGAAGTACAAAATCTGGAGTTTTCCTTGAAGTTTATCAGTAGCCTCCCCTTGGCATCCTGCTTTTAATAATCAAACTTGCTGGCATGCTGTACTATAATCCTCCAACTTCATTGGAGGCCCAGCTACACAGGCAGCATCACACCAGCCAAGGGTTGCCATGCAGCGCAGGCGCAGCGCACGTTACCGTATGCATCCAGGTCTGTTTCCTTCACGAATTGTTCTGCTCTTTAATAACTGAAGATTTAGTTCAAAGGTCACCTATTCTGTGAAGTTCTCTGTCCATGAACATTTCTTGATGTTCCAGTAACACTTTAAAAGAGCTTAACACAACATTTTGTCTGCAAATGATTAAACTTTTTATTCTACCAATCTCACTGATCTCAATTGCACTTTTGCTTTAAAACACTATTTTTTACTTCAGTGTTTCTTACATCTTTTTCATACTGGGCCTTCTTTAAATTCATTTTACTTTCATTCATTTGGGAAATGCTGCGCCTTTAGCATGCTAGGCAAGCATTCTACCATGCAGCTATATCCCTAACCCAGAACCTCATTAAATTTTTCAGAATTACTGAACACCCCAGTAAACTTTTGTTTTTGTGGATTATATCTACCAATGTTTGCTATGCTTGAAATTTAACTCAAGGAATACATGATTTAAAAATACTTATTTAATTCACTTAAAAATAATAAATTATATTTTAACATAAATAGTAGTTTTACCAAAAATAAATCTTTTCTACAACAAACTTTGTAGGAAGAGCATTGTATACCTTTGTAGCTCTCTAAGATCTCGATGAATGAGAAGATGAGAGGTTCTCATATCTGCTCCTGTACTCAGTCTCTTCTAATATCATGCTATAGCCTTTGGAAAATTCCAGTGTACTACCATGGAAGAATAAGAGTGCGAAGTGGCTAATCTCATCTTAATATTGGAATTAAAAAATCAGATTTCATGAGCCCATTATACCAGACCTACTGCCCTAGTCTACAATGGCTCTCACAAGTCTTCTTCACACTCCTGGCCCCAACTTTTCTTCTCCTTCTTAACTTTGGGCTACTTTCTTTCTCCTTCTTGACTAGTGGCTACTTTAATGAGGAAAGAAAAACTAGCAAGCTCTAGTTTTCATACTGTTAATTCTTCTGTGTTTTTCTAATTCGCCTTTGAATTCTTTTATTTTTCATGTTTCCTTGCCCTAGTTTATAAAGTAAACCCTTCGCAAACTACTCTTTTCCAGAACTTTCTTCATTAAACAACTCCCATCTTTCACTCATCCACAGGTGGTTTACTCTATCTGAAAATGGAAAAAAAGAAAGGCCTGTGTAAGATGCTATGACACTCCTAAAACGTAAAGTGCACCTTCATTCCAGATGTTAAAATGTTACCGACTGATGAAATACAGTAAGGCAGGCCTGGGGAGTAAGGCAGGAATCCCACAGGTAAGTACAGGAAGTTTGAAAGGATGAGTAAGAGCACACAAAGCAGGAAAAGTGGAAAGGATATTTTATGGAGAGAGAAGGCCATGCTCAAAGCATGAATGCACAAAGGGTGCAAGGATGTGTGGGGAATAGGCTGCAGCTGCTGGGCACAGAACTCACATGGGAAAATGTGAGGCAGAGATGAGGGACAGATAGGATGGAGAACATTTTATGAAGCTTCCTGAAGCCACCATAGTAGGGAAAGGTCACTGGTTAGAGCAAGGACAGGACTGAGGACAGCCTCGGGGCTGCCAGGTGGGGGCAGGGAGAAAGGGACATATTTCCATGATGGACAAGAGTGAGTCATGTTTCATCTTGAGATGTACACTGCTAGGCTTTGAAAATTTATACTCTAACCGAGTAAGTAAAAATGTTCATTTTCTCAAATTCTCAATAATACTTGGTGAGAGTGTAAAATGTCAAGTCTCCCATTCTGTCAAACTTCAATTTATTGTTTTAATTTGAACTGCTCTGGCTGTTAGAGAAGTTTAGTATCAGATTCCATATCTGCTTTTATTGTTCATTTGTTTCAGTTTTTACAAACTGCTTTTCCATGTAATCTATTTTTCTGTCAAGGAGTTCATCTTTTCCTTACTCATTTATAAAAGGTTAGTACAAAGCGTGACCAAAAATACAGTGAAAAAAATGTATTACAACCAGACATACGCCACTAATCCCCTTGAAAATACTCCCCCTTGCTTCTCACTTTCTTATCTCATCATTCTTCCCATTTATTTGTTGTAACGGGGCCTGTGCTGTGCATGGTGCCAGCAGGCAAGAGGGAGCCTCAGACTGAACCTGTTTCTTTCCACTTTCTGAAGCAGTTCTACAAGTCCTTTTTCACTGTGCTGTCATGGCCACCTTGACACCCTGATTTGATTCCAAATGTTTACCTTTCACGGTTATGTTGACTTTGAGGAAGAGTCACACAATGCCAGAGCCAGTGAATATGGTGGTAAGGACACTGTAGAATTTTCATGAGCCGCCTTCCCCCTGGATAACACTTGGCAGCAGCACTATTTTCGATCATACCTAGTAGACACACTCAGGAAAGAGGACTTGCAGAACTGCTTCAAGTGGCAAGAACAATGGGATAAGTGTATTCTAAGTGAGGCGAGTACTCTGAGAAGGATTAATGGCAATGTGTCTTTTACTATAATACTGAAAAATTTAAACATTCACCATATATTTTGATTATACCTCATAAATACAGGACATTACTCTTTGCCACATTACAGTTTTTCCAATTTGTCTTTTGTGTTTTCATTTTTAGTGTTGTCTTTGTCTTTTTTTTTTTTTTGGCAAGGGTCCTTCTGTAACATAATGCCTTGAGACTACATAATTTACACAGAACAGGAATGTACCACTCACAGTTCCAGAGTCTGGGAAGTTTAAGGCTAAGGCACCAGCATGTCAGGTGTCTGCATGAGGCTGCTCTGTGCTTCCGAAGTACTGCCCTGCATGCTAAATTCTCTAGAGAAGGGGAGCACTGGACACTCCCTGGCAGAAGAGGAAGAGGGAGCCCACTCATGAAAGTCATCTTAGAATGACACTAATCCATTCATGAGGGTGCAGCCTTCACGGTCTAGTTATCTTATATCCTGGTACTGTTGCACTGGCTGTTGAATTTCAACATGAGCTTTGGAAGGGACAAATAAATCACAAGTACTGATAATCATCATTCAAACAAGCAGTCATCTGAGGCACTATAATGTGCCAGTGTGTTTGTTTAGGTTTTGTGTCAAAAAGAAAATATAACCTTTTCTCTTTAGAAGCATGTTGTTCTAGATGCAGTGACACATGCCTGTAACTCCAGCACTTGGGAGGCTGAGGGAAGTTGCCTTGAACTTGAGGACAGCCTGAGTTATGCAGTGAGTTCAAGGCCAGCCTAGACTACTCTCTCAGAAACAAACAGACAAACAAACAAATAAACAAACCATGTTGTGGCTGAATTATGTCCCTAAGCTGAATAACCTTAGAACGTTACTGTATTTGCAGACAGGACTTACAGAGAAGTGATGAAGTTAAAATGAAGGGTTCGGTTGGGCTCCAATCCAATCTGACAGGTGTACTGACCAGAAAAAATGTGGGCACACAGGAAACAGGGATGTAACATGGGGCAGACCATGTAAGGACACAAGAAGGCAGCCATACAGGTGTCAAGAGAAACCGAGGTTGCTAGGGTTTCAATCTTAGACTCCAACCTCCAGAACTGTGACAGAATAAGTATCTGTTATTTACTAGTACAAGGGATTATATCAATTAAAATTAGTATTAAAAAAAAGTACAGAAAACTGTATCCCTGGGGCTGGGAATTTAGCTCAGCGGCAAAAGCGCCTGCCTGGCAAGCGCAAGGTCGTGAGTTCGGTTCCTGGTACTGGAGAAAAAC